GAGGAAGCTTTATATTTCTAATTGAAAAAATTCTGAAAAATATTAAAAGCAAAAAAAGGTGAATATTGACAATATTTTTCAACCTCTCGAATTTCACGTGGAATTGAAAAAATCTTTCTATTAGAAACATTTTTTTTTTATGAAATACAGAGTTTCATAGTTCATAAAAAAAAAACTACCTGTGTGTATGTATTTATTTGACCCAATTTATTTCAATCTTTGTTGCAGTCAATATTGATTCATTTCTACTATTTTTAAATGAAAAAAAAAAAAAACAGAATCTCGTTCTTTAGTTTTTATTAATTAATTTGTCAATTTGGTTTATAATTTCTTTTTACGAATAGCTGGATAAGTATATTTTATTAGTTCAGATTTATTTTGTGGATTGCAGATTTTTATTTTTAGAGGAGATAAATATTAGGGCAAACGAAAAGTGCCTTTATGCTACAAGTTGTTTAGAATATTTAACAGAAAGTTTTGCTTAATTCACGACTTTTTCATTGTTTGAAATTTCCATAAAAATAAGTAGAAAAATTCATTTTAAATAAAGCAATTAAAAGGAAGCACAGAATCGTTGACCCTCATAGGTTTTTTTTTATTCCATACGGATTCACACTTCGATTTCTGATTAAGAAACCTCGATTATTCCCATTTTATTGGCTTCTTTAACTTCCAAATCTTTCAGTTAATTTATCTTAATTATATAAATAAATTGGCGTATAATTAAATCAAGGTTAACACAGATTCTTACGATTAAGGAAACAGATTATAAAAAGTTAACATATGGTTAAAAAAATACCATTAAATGTAGTTTCTTTATTATTTTTAATGACAACAATTATTTTTTAATGTACCATTTAAAAATACTCCGGCTCTTAGTAAAATAATTTGTGTAAAATTTATGAATGAGCAAAATGACGTGATTATTTTTGCATTTTACTCATCTCTATAAATATAAAAGTGAGTGATTTTAAGATATAATTGTTTTTTTTTCTTGGGTCAGTGCACGAAAAGTATAAATAAATATAGAACGTTCGAAAAAAACAAAGAAAAAGATTTAAAACACGTCTGTATTATTACTTTCATGTAATATTTTTATAATACTTCAAGTTTGTTTATTTAAGTTTTGAAAAGAGTGAAAAATATTTATCTTTAATGATTATTTTGAAAAACTCAGTAATTTTGTAATGACAGGGCTTGAACTGGGTCCATAAATTTGCTTGAAGTCTGTAAAAGTCAGTTTTTTTTTGTAAAAAAAAAAGGTCCGTATCTACTATTTTAGTCAAATTTTCCAAAAGAATTCAAATATTTAAAAAAAAATTTAATAAAATTCTACGCAAACCTTTAATTATTTTTATAAAATAATATAAATTTAACAGAAATTCAGTTATTTTCAAATTTTTTTATTTTCAAAAATAAAATTTTTACTGGGATTTACTTATTTTCGTAAATAATAAAATTCTTCTTAGGGTTTCAATTATTTTCATAAATAATAGAACTCATTGCGGAATTTCAATTATTTTCAATACAATTTTAATCGAATTTCTCAAAAAATGTAATTATTCAATAAATTGTTTTTTTTTTGTATTTAAATAATTGAATTCTAGTAGAATTTTCTAATAAAAATTGATTTTCATTTTATAAAAATGAATTTCAGTTAAAATTTTAGATTATAATTAAATATTAAAAGCATTAGAGTGTGGATTTTTAGAAATAATTGAATTTTGCAGAGGTTTCAAATTAAAATCTTTGAAAATCTGAATTTTTTTAATTTTTATTTTTTAACTATAATAATTCTGTAGAATTAATTTTTTTGAGAAATTTTTCACAAATAATAAAACTCATCGCAGAATTTCAATTATTTTTTTACACAATTTTAATCGAATTTCTAAGAAAATGTAATTATTCTTAAATATTTTATTTAATTTATTTTATTTCAATTATTTTTTATACAATTTTAATCGAATTCCTAGAAAAATTTAATTATTCTTAAATATTTTATTGAAATTCGTGAAAAGAATTAAATTATTTAAAAATTTGTTGATAAAATTCTTCATGAGAATTTAATTTAAAGAAACTTTCAATTATTCAATAAGTTATTAATTTTTGTATTTAAACAATTTCATTCTCGTTGAATTAATAATTGAATATTAAAAGCATCATAGCGTGAATTTTTAGAAAAAATTTAATTGAATTTATTTTTTAAATTCAGATATTATATTTTTTAATAATAAAGAATAATTAATAAGAGGCTTCGTACTCGATAATTAATTTTAAAAAAGTAGCAAAAAGTTGGACAGAAAAAAGTAGTAAAAAAGTAACTATCGATAAATTAAATTTAACCGTCTATTTATTTTGTCTACAGAAATTAAAATATTTCAAATGATTTCAAGTTAACGCATTTTTGAAATTTAACTATTTCTAAAAATTACAAAAGTAATTCTTTCAAAATTCATTCATTTTTTTGTTGTAATTTATAAATAAACTTATTCAAAACTTTAATCACTTTATTTTATTCAATTCTAAATCAATTCTTATTAGAAATTTCTACGAGAATTCATTTATTTAAATGCAAAAATAAATAATTTATTCAATATAATTGAATATTAATTAAATTTGAATTCTTATAAAGAATTTTATCAATATTTTTAAAAATAATTGAATTTTTACGAAGAATTGCACTAAAATTTTTAATAATATTAAATTCATTCAAGAAATGTAATTAAAAATGAATTTAAAATAATTATTACACTCTAAGAAGCAAATTAATTATATTAAATTTTTTTAAATAATTGAATTTTTTCGAAGAATTTTATTCAAATTTTTAAGAATAATTGTGTTTTTAGCGGAATTAATTTAAAATTATATTAAAAATAATTGAAATCCTGCGATGAGTTTTATTATTTATGAAAATAATTGAATTCTTTCAAAAAATTTTATTAAAATTATATTGAAAAGAATTTAATTATTATAAAGAATTTCATTAACATTTTTTAAATTAATTGAATTCTTTCAAAGAATTTTATTAACATTTTTTAAATTAATTAAATTCTTTCAAAGAATTTTATTAAAATTTTTAAGAATATTTGCGTTTTTAGCGGAATTAATTTAAAATTATATTAAAAATAATTGAAATCCTGCGATGAGTTTTATTATTTATGAAAATAATTGAATTCTTTCAAAAAATTTTATTAAAATTATATTGAAAAGAATTTAATTATTATAAAGAATTTCATTAACATTTTTTAAATTAATTGAATTCTTTCAAAGAATTTTATTAACATTTTTTAAATTAATTAAATTCTTTCAAAGAATTTTATTAAAATTTTTAAGAATATTTGCGTTTTTAGCGGAATTAATTTAAAATTATATTAAAAATAATTGAAATCCTGCGATGAGTTTTAATATTTATAAAAATAATTGAATTCTTTCAAAAAATTTTATTAAAATTATATTGAAAAGAATTTAATTATTATAAAGAATTTCATTAACATTTTTTAAATTAATTGAATTCTTTCAAAGAATTTTATTAACATTTTTTAAATTAATTAAATTCTTTCAAAGAATTTTATTAAAATTTTTAAGAATATTTGCGTTTTTAGCGGAATTAATTTAAAATTATATTAAAAATAATTGAAATCCTGCGATGAGTTTTAATATTTATAAAAATAATTGAATTCTTGCAACGATTTATTATTAAAATTTTAAAAAATAATTGTATTCCTAAGAAGAATTTTATTATTTTTAAAAATAATTTATTCATTTATTTAGAATTAAATTTTTTCGAAAAATATTAGGAAAATTATGTTTCAAATAATTGAATGTTTGCGAAAAATTTTATAAACTTTTTTTTTAAATTATTCAATTCTTTTTGAAAATTTTTTATTAAAATAGTAGATATTGAAAATCATTGAATTACCAAAAATTTGTAGAAATAATTGAATCGTGTTAAAGAATGGTATTAATTAAATAATTTTTTTATTTCAACTGTTAACAAATTTTTAAGTAAGGTAAATTCTCAATCATGGAAAAAAGTAGTTTTTAGTGTAACAAATAAAAAAAAGTATCTAAATAGTATAGCAAATCGTAAAAAAAGTAGTAAATAGTAGGTTTTGTAGATGAGTGCGAGGCCTGCGGGTCAATTAAAATTTACGCTAATTTATAAAATTCCCCGAAGAGCCAAAATAAATATTCGTTTTAAATACAAGTTTAGAATTTTTTTTTCAAATTCCAAAATGAAATTTCATTGAAATATTTATAAGAAAAAAAAAATCCGTGTTCTCGAGATGGTTACAAATTAATATCATCACACTTTATTATATGCAAAAAGGTAAAAGGCGATATCGATGGAGGTGAAAAATCAAATGGCACATCGAAATCAGAAAGCAATCTTGAAATATTGGAGAACGATAGTGGAACACGTAAGAAAAAGCGAAAACGACGGAAATTTAAAAAGAAACATTTATCACAACCGGCGAGTAGTCATATGGTCTTAAATTTACCCTCATCATCAACGGAAATTGAAACTGCTGACGAGTGCTCCAAGAGAGGTTCATTGAGTAGTCTCGGTGGTGCGAGTAGTAGGCACACAACTCTACGTGAATCATTACTCACAGTTTTGGGAAAATTGGTTGTTTGGAAAGGAACGCGATATAGACCGACACCAACGCCTTCATCATCGGCACCACCAAATTCACCTCCGGCCACCGAATGTATCGGTCGAACAACCTTTTTTTCCAGTGGTGAGTCCATTGCAAAGGGGAAAAAAACTTCTTTTGTTTATTTCAGTTATTATAAAAATTAAATATAATAATAATAATAAACAATCTATATTTTTTGTTATAATAGTATATTGTGGATGATTCGATCAGATTGAGTTGATAATAATTTACTAGGATTTTTAATTACCAAAAGTCATCGCTTAACATAATGTGTCAAGAGATTATTTTTAATAAACACAAAAAAGCGTATTTTTTAACATGTTTTTTTTTTATTTACAGAGACAGAAAGGCGAATTCGAGCAAATAATCGCGAGTACAATTCACAATTCAACTATGCGGTATGTACTCAAAATACTTTGAATCCCTAAAGTTGGCGTCGAGACTAAACGTAAAAAAATATTGTTTTTGGTTAAGATAATAAGGCAATGGCCCTGGTGGCATGTGGACTAACTAACAAATTAAAAACAAAAAGTCCAAACCAAAAAATCCAAAGTAAATGAAATCCAAAAATGTAAAAAAAAAAAAAATAGTTTCACTTTGAACTTTGAATGAAATTGTCCTTTTTTTGAGTTGTTCATTTCGATGAATGTGAATCAAAAGTAGGTAAACTTAACATTTTATATTTTTAAAATTAATTAAATTAATCAGGTATTGTATTTAATTGGAATTACATATTTTATATTGAAAAAACAATTGAATTTTTTATAAATAATTTTATAAATTATTATAATTATTATAAATAATTTTATGAAAATTTGTTGAAAATAAATTGTATTTCTTGGAATAATTGTTTTAAAATTTTTTTGTACTTTGGATTTTTTTCTTGGATTTTTCGATCTGGATTTTTTGGATTGGATTTTTTGTCCTGAAATCTCCACCAGGATCCTTGAATTGTAAATAAAATTTAGTCCTTGTGGATATTTTTCGTATTTTCGCTGTCATGTCAGGGTGTCTACTACATAACCAGGAAAAACCGGGAATAAGCCAGGAATTTTATGTAAAACCGAGAATTTTTTCACCAAATTAAAAAAACTTTTATTATTTTAATTTGATATTTCTACTGTTCTCTAAATTTGAATTATTTAAATATAATTAATTTGATAGTAAAAAAATCAGTCACGGATTCAAATATAGTTAGTAAATAAATTTTTAAAAAATGATCGAATTACTAGAAATTTTGTGAAATTCAACTGAAAATAATTAAATTTGTTAAAGAATTTCATTAAAAACTTTTTAACAAATCGAATTTTCAAAGTATTTTTATTTAATAACTGATAAATAATTGAATTTTATAAAGAGTCACATTCTAATATATTCATGTTTCTTAGTGCGAAAAATAATAATTAAAATTTTTATTAGTTAATTTAAAAAAAGATACACACTTAACATTTTTTAATAAAATTGAATTTTCGCAAAGTTTTATTGAAAATTGTAAAAAATAAGATTCTTGAAATTTTCCAATTCTATTGATTCAAGATAATTGAATTTTTATAAACAAATAATTGAAAATTTTTGAAATAATTGAAATTTCTTTACATTCTATTAAAAATAATTAAATTTTGTTAAAGAATTTTATTTAAATTTTTCGAAAATAAACAAGGGAAGTTAGTCATTGTAATAAATAGTAAAACTCATTGCAGAATATCAATTATTCTTTAATACAATTTTAATTAAATTCTTCGAAAATGTAATTATTCTTAAAAATTTTATTAAACTTCGTCGAAATAATTGAATTATTTCTAGAAACTGTAAAAAAATTCTTCTCAAGAATCCAATTATTTCCAAAAATAGCAAAATTCATCACAAAAATTCAATTATTTTCATAAATTTCCATAAAATTCTAAAAAACAATTCAATTATTTTAAAAAGTAAAATTCATTGCAAAATTCAATTATTTTGATAAATAAGAATATTCATCGCAAGAATTCAATTACTTTCAAAATTATTAAAGTTGTTCGTAGAAATTCAATTATTTTCAAAATTTTTTTTTTAAAAATTGTCAATATTTCAATTATTTTTATAAATAAATAGCAAAATTCTTTGACAAAATTCAATTATTGTAAGGAATTTTAATAAAATTCATTGCAAAATTTAGAATTTCAATTATTTTTAATACAATTTTAATTAAATTCTTCGAAAAATGTAATTATTCTTAAAAATTTTATGAAAATTCGTCGAAAGAATTCAATTATTTCTAGAAACTGTTAAAAAAATTCTTTTTAAGAATTCCATTACTTCCAGATTTAAATATAGCAAAATTCTTCAGATTTACTAAATTCTTTTGAATATTATTTTTAAAAAAATTTTTCACATGAATTCAATTATTTTCATAAATTTCCATAAAATTCTAAAAAAATAATTCAATTATTTGCAAAAGTAATAAATTTCTTCGCAGAAATTCAATTATGTTTAAAAACTTTTTTTTAATTCTCAAAATTTCAATTATCTTTATAAATAATTAAATAAAATAAAAATTTTTTGAAGCCATTTGTAGATTTATTTATGTTCGAAATGAAATAAATTTAAATTTGATGAGAAAAAAAAACGGGAAAAATTAGGACAAAGCCGGGAATTTTGTTGAACGAAAATAGTTGACACCCTGCATGTATACGATTGACCTATAAAATTTAATAATACATAATACATTCATGCTTGAGCTAAACTAATAAATTTTCTATTATTTAACTAAATTTGTGTTATATTTTCAGAACAATTACATCAAAACGTCCAAGTATTCGGTTCTGACGTTCCTGCCATTGAATTTGTTTGAGCAATTTCAAAGGCTCGCCAATTTTTACTTCCTATGTCTGCTGGTGCTTCAGATGATCCCCGCTATATCTTCTCTAACCCCAATCACCACAGCCATACCTCTTATTGGGGTACTCACGCTCACTGCCGTCAAAGATGCCTACGATGATTTTGTAAGTATTTTTTTTCGATTAATTTGTTTTCTCTAATTTTTTATAAATTTCTTTCTTCTTCTATATTTCTTCAGGGTTGCCACATGTCAGAGAATTCAGGGAAAAGTCAGAGAAAGTAGAATTGGTCAAGGAAAAGTCAGGGATTTTTATTAAAAGTACTGGAAAAAATTAAATGTTTAGAATTTATAAGAAAATTCTCAATTTTTGTGTCTTTTTTGTTTGCCTCATAAACTATGAAATTTACCAAAAATTCTAAAAAAAACTTTCAATTTTTTCTATTTCTGACAATAATTTCTTATTAAAATTAAAATAAATCTTAATTGTATTGAAGAACTGTCATAAAGTTATTACTTATAAATCATTTAAGGAATAATTTTATTATTTTTGAAACTAATTGAATGTTTGTGATGAATATTGTTATTTATAAATGACAATATTCATCACAAGAATTCAATTATTTTCAAAGTTAATAAAATTCTTCGCAAAAATTAAATTATTTTCAAAAATTTTTTTAAAAATTCTCTTTAATATTTTAATTATCTTTATAAATAGCAAAATTTTTCGCCGAAATTCAATTATATTCAGAAATTGAAATAAAATTCATTACAAAACTCAATTATTTTCAAAATAACAATATTCATCACAAGAAATAAATTATTTTCAAAATTAATCAAATTCTTGGCAGAAATTCAATTACTTTCAAAATTTTTGGAAAATTCTCTTTAATATTTCAATTATCTTTATAAATAACAAAATTCTTCGCCGAAATTTAATTATATTCAGGAATTTAAATAAAATTCATTGAAAAATCCAATTATTTTTATAAATGACAATATTCATCACAAGAAATAAATTATTTTCAAAGTTAATAAAATTCTTGGCAGAAATTCAATTACTTTCAAAAATTTTTTTAAATAATTCTCGTCTATATTTCAATTATTTTTATAAATAGCAAAATTCTTCGCCTAAATTCAATTATATTCAGAAGTTTAAATAAAATTCATTGCAAAATCCAATTATTTTCATAAATAACAATATTCATCACAAGAAATAAATTATTTTCAAAATTAATAAAATTCTTCGCAGAAATTCAATTATTTTCGAAAAATCTAAAAAAAATTGTTATCAACATTTCAATTATCTTTATAAATAGCAAAAGTCTTCGCCTAAATTCAATTATATTCAGAAGCTTAAATAAAATTCATTGCAAAATTCAATTATTTTCATAAATAACAATATTCATCACAAGAAATAAATTATTTTCAAAATTAATCAAATTCTTTGCAGAAATTCAATTATTTTCGAAAATAATAGTATAGTCATGTGAAGTTAGCACCACTTTTTCAAAAAATTAAAAAAATTACATGAGTTCTGGGTTCCTTAGCAATAGTTCTGTAGTTCTATAATAATTTTTTCAATAGTTCTGGCAATTAACACTAAAAAAAAATAATATGAAAAAATTAGATGCTAATTTCACGTAGCACTACAATTTTTGCAAAAAAGAGTTCTGACATGGTATTTTGATAGCAAATCAAGAGTTCTAGAGTTCTCTCATAAAAAAATTAATAGTTCCGTAAAATACTAAAAACTACAGAACTTTGAAAAATTACAAAAAATACTTTTTTGCAAAAAATGAATTATTTTTGAGTTCTGAGCAGAGTTCTGGTATCTGTAATGAGAGTTCTGCACATAATCCCAATAAAATTTTTTTCTAACCTTAAAATACTAAAAACTACAGAACTTTGAAAAAATTGAAAAAAAACAATTCTTTTTGAGTTCTGAGCAGAGTTCTGGTATCTGTAATGAGAGTTCTGCACATAATCCCAATAAAATTTTTTTCTAAAATTAAAATACTAAAAACTACAGAACTTTGAAAAATTACAAAAAAACTTTTCTGCAAAAAATTAATTCTTCTTGAGTTCTGAGCAGAGTTCTGGTATCTGTTATGAGAGTTCTGCACATAATCCCAATAAAATTTTTTTCTAAACTTAAAACACTAAAAACTACAGAACTTTAAAAAATTGAAAAAAAACAATTCTTTTTGAGTTCTGAGCAGAGTTCTGGTATCTGTAATGAGAGTTCTGCACATAATCCCAATAAATTTTTTTTCTAAACTTAAAATACTAAAAACTACAGAACTTTGAAAAATTACAAAAAAAAACTTTTTTGCAAAAAATTGAATCTTTTTGAGTTCTGAGCAGAGTTCTGTTAGCCCCCGATAGTGTTCGACAAAAAACCTTTAGTCATGTAAAGTTCTCACTACTTTTTTGAAAAATCAAAAATTTTACTAGAGTTCTGGTCACTTTAGCAATAGTTCTAGAGTTCTCTAACGATTATTTAAATAGTTCTGATGATTAACAATAAAAAAAGCGACAATGATTTTTGCAAAAAAGAATTTTGACCTAATATTCTGAAAGAGAATAAGGAGTTTTAGAGTTCTCTACCAAAAAAACAACAGTTCTGCAAAATTTCAAAAGTTATTAACAAATTAAAAAAAGTTATTAAAATAATATTTTGCGAGTTCTGAATATAGTTCTGGCATCGTTGCGAAGAGTTCTATAAGTATATCTAATGACATTTTGTTCTAAATACAAAATCAAAAAAGTTCCAGGACTTTGAAACTTTCAAAAAATTTCAAAATTTAGAGTTCTGAGAGTTTTTAATAGAGTTCTAACATCATTGCGAAGAGTTCTAGAAGCAATTCTAATGACTTTTTTCTCTAAGCCTAAAATCCAAAAAATTACAGGACTATAAAAATTTCAAAAATTAAAAATTTAGAGTTCTGAGAGTTCTTATTAGAGTTCTGTCATCGCTGCGAAGAGTTCTATAAGTATATCTAATGACATTTTGTTCTAAATCCAAAATCAAAAAAATTACGGGACTTTAAAATTTTCTAAAATTTAAAAAATTTTCAAATTTAGAGTTCTAAGAGTTCTGGCATCGTCATAAAGAGTTCTATAAGTATTTCTAATGACATTTTGTTTTAAATCTAAAATCAAAAATGTTAAAGAACTTAAATATTCTCAAAAAATTTCAAAATTCTAAAATTCCGAGTTCTGGCATCATTGCGAAGAGTTAAATGGGATTTATACCAAATGAAATTTATGTCAAGTAAATTTTATGGCAAATGATATTTATGTCAAATGGATTTTGTGTCAAATGAGAATTACGTTAAATGACATTTATGCCAAATGAAATAATGTCAAATGAATTTTATAACAAATTAAATTTACGTTAAATGAATTTTATGCCAAAGAAATTTATGTTAAAAGAAATTTATATTACCTACATAACTTTTATGTCAAATGGGAATTAAGTTATCTGAGATTTGTAACATAATATTTCTGTTAAATGAAGAGTATGACAAATGATATTTATGTTACATAGTTTTTGTGTGCAATGAAATTTATGACAAATAATGTTCATATTATGTGAATTTTAGGTTAATTAGTTTTATATCAAATAACTATTTGGTCAAAAAAGATTTCGGGAATAATCATGCGCCTCATATTAAAAGAGGAAATTTTTTAAAGTTCTGTAGTTTTTAGTATTTTAAGTTAAAAAAATTTTTTATTGGGATAAATGCAGAACTCTCATTACAGAAACCAGAACTCTGCTCAGAACTCAAAAAGATTCAATTATTTTTGTAATTTTTCAAAGTTCTGTAGTTTTTAGTATTTTAAGTTTAGAAAAAAAATTTATTGGGATTATGTGCAGAACTCTCATTACAGATACCAGAACTCTGCTTAGAACTCAAGAAGAATTAATTTTTTGCCGAAAAGTTTTTTTGTAATTTTTCAAAGTTCTGTAGTTTTTAGTATTTTAAGGTTAGAAAAAAATTTTATTGGGATTATGTGCAGAACTCTCATTACAGATACCAGAACTCTGCTCAGAACTCAAAAAGAATTCCTTCTTTGCAAAAAAGTATTTTTTGTAATTTTTCAAAGTTCTGTAGTTTTTAGTATTTTACGGAACTATTAATTTTTTTATGAGAGAACTCTAGAACTCTTGATTTGCTATCAAAATACCATTCAGAACTCTTTTTTGTGAAAATTGTAGTGCTACGCGAAATTAGCACCTAATTTTTTTAATTAATATTATTATTATTTTATTTATTTTTTTTTTTTTTTAATTTTTTTAATTTTTATTTTTTTTTTTTTTTTTTTTTTTTTTTTTAGTGTCAATTGACAGAACTATTGAAAAAATTATTATAGAACTACAGAACTATTGCTAAAGAACCCAGAACTCATGTGATTTTTTTAATTTTTTGAAAAAGTGGCGCTAACTTCACATGACTTAATAGTATTCATCACAAAACTTTAATTATTTTCAAAAATTTGTCTAAATTCAATGATTTTTAATATTCTATTGTTTTAATAAAATTTCCCAAAAGAATTCAATTATTTTATAAATGTTGACAAAATTCTACATGAATATTCAATTATTTTCTAAAATAATGATAATTTCACAGGAATTCCATTATTAAAAATAGAATTTGCATAAATTTTTTCAAAAAAAGTCAGTTGTTTGAGATTCTTTTTTTATAAAATTCTTTATGAGAATTTAATTTTAAGAAAAATCCAATTATTCAATAAATTATTTATTTTTTTATTTAAATAATTGAATTCTCGTAGAATTTTCTAATAAAGATTGATTTAAAAATTAATTTCAGTTAAAGTTTTAGATAATAATTGAATTTTGGAGAAGTTACTAATAATTGCAATTTTTAGAAATAATTGTATTTTGTAAAAGTATCATATTAAAATCTTTGAAAATCTTAATTTTTCATACTTTTAACAAATAATTCTGTAGAATTAATTTTTTTGAAAAATTTTAATTAATTTTTTTGTAATATTATTTGAAGTTTTCATTTTCTACATATTTTAATGAAGAATTTTCGAATAATCGAAATTTTTTAAAATTGAATTTATTGTAATCAAAATGGATTAAAAAATTCTCAAAAAACTTTTTCGAAAATTATTGAAAATAATTGATTTGAAGAAGAATTTTAGTTAAAAATTCTAGAAAATAATAATTGAATTGAAATGATGAACAGATGGAAATATTTTTGAATCTCTCGGTTATCTTTAATTATTATGAAACATAAATTATTAAAATTATTATTATAATAATATTCTTATAAGTTATTGAATTTCATAAGGTTTGGATTTTTTCTGGAAATCAGGAAAAAGCAAAATTAAATATTTGTCGCAATGGTCGCAACTCATCTGTTCTTTCTTCTTTCTCTTTGTAGCTTAAAAGCAAAAAATTTGTAATTTTTCGAATGAATCACAGTAAATTCAAATTACCACTAAAATAATTAATAAAAATTGATTTTAGTTTTACACAATTAAACAAAAACTTTCAAGGACAACTTCCACTAACCCTGATTAAAAGTTCATGAATGATTAAAGACAGTTTTTAGCCCACGTTTCGTCGGTTAAGGATTTAATAATTGATTAACTTTTAATCGGCGTGGAACGTGTGGTCACTTGTCTTTAATGTCCGACGTTGTAAAATTACTTTGTCAGCTTTACCATTTTTGACAGTGTGTAAAAATAAGACAAATATAACCTTAAAATGATTTTCCTCTACGGTACCTTTCTTTAGTGTATGTTACATTTAGTAAAAAAAAATTACTTTCTAAATTCAGTTACTGATAATTAGTAGAAATATACTGAATCAAATTAGTAAATAGACAGATATTTTTCTCCTTTATTGGCACTTTTACAATTTGTTTCAATTTTCAGCAACGACATAGCAGCGATTCACAAGTTAACAATCGAAAATCACGAACTTTACGAGGCACAAACTTACGTGAGGAAAAATGGTCTCAAGTCCAAGTTGGAGATGTGATTAGAATGGAGAACGATCAATTTGTTGCAGCCGATGTCCTCCTTCTATCAACCAGCGAGCCTAATGGTCTCTGTTACATTGAGACTGCTGAATTGGATGGGTAATGATAATAATTAAATGAATATTTTATTAACAAATGATAATTTATTGAAATAATTTTTTCTCCAAATAAGAGGCAATAATAGAAATAAATTTTTAGGGAGACAAATCTCAAGTGTCGACAGTGTTTAGCCGAAACGTCAGAAATGATGGATAATCATGAATTAATTGGCCAATTTGATGGTGAAATCATTTGTGAAACGCCCAATAATTTGTTGAACAAATTTGATGGCACGCTTTTATGGAGAGGAAAAAAGTAAGTTTTTCTTTTTGGAAAATAATATCAGGATTGCCAAATTTTAGGGAATTATAATAATTATTATTATAAAATTATTAGAGGTGTGCAAAATTCGAATCGAGAGAAAATTCGACTCGAACTGCCAATTCGAAATTCGAAGATTCGAATTTCGAATTGCTCAACTCGACTCGGTTAACTTTCGATTCGAATTGGCAGTTCGAATCGAATTTTCTCTCGATTCGAATCGGCCAATTGATCGAATTGCTCGACTCGACTCGAGTTTCGAATTAATTCGGCCAATTCGAAAATCGAAGTTAGACTTTCGAATTGCTATGTAGTGTATGCAGTATGTTGTGTTTCGAATGGGCCGAATTATTCGAAAATCGAGTCGAGTCGAGCAATTCGAAATTCGAAACTTCGAATTGGCCGATTCGAATCGAGAGAAAATTCGATTCGAACTGCCAATTCGAATCGAAAGTTAACCGAGTCGAGTTGAGCAATTCGAAATTCGAACCTTCGAATTTCGAATTGACTAGTTCGAATCGAATTATCTCCGATTCGCATTTTCTGTTGTCGAGTCGATTAATGTTCGGTTCGACTCGATTAAATGCACACCTCTAATAATTATAAAATTCCATAATTTTGATAAAAGTTGGAAAATTGTTAAAAAATTAAGATTAAGAAATAGAAACTATTTTGCATCTTTTCTGTTTCTCAATTATAATATTGTTCACAAACTCATTGATTTATTTTGGGAAAAAAACATTACATATTCCCGTTTCTTAATATTTTTGTAAGAAAATTTTCAATTTTCATAAGGGAATAATTTACATAATTTCTATTTCTTAATTACAACTGTTTTAATAACATTCAAAGTTTTTTAAAAATAAAGGAAAAAAATGTTTATAATTTCTATTTGTCAATTACTTAATTAATTATTTACGAATTTCTTTAATTGCAAAATTATTCAAAAACATCAGTTACTTATTTTTTAAATAAATCTTTAAATATTATTATTTTTTCATAGGAATTAAGATTTTCAAAAATTTCAAATTCAAACCTTTTTGAAATTAAACAATTTATAATAAATATAAATTTTATAATAATAAAAAATTTATAAAAATAATTGAATAGTTGCGAAGAAATTTATTTAAAAAAATTGTAAATAATTGAATTCTTAATGAAATTTTTATTGAAAATAATAAAAATGTTTGTGTACAATTTTATTAAATGTTTTTTTAGATATAATTGAATTATTTTCGGAAAATTGTATTAAAATAGTAGATTTTGAAAAAGTAGAAAAATTTTCATAAAATTACTATTTCTTATCACAATTTGTTAACAAAATTCTGTTCATTTTTGAAAAAAAAAATAATTTGCATCATTTTTAATGTCCTGGAGTTGCATAAAAAAATTAAATTTTTAGAATTCAGAGAAAAATTCTTAATTTTTAGCTCCAGCAAACTTCAAAAATAGTAAAAAGATTTCATTCTTCTTGATTTTCTTTCTCTTTGCCTTATTAACTTTGAAATCATCACGAATTTTAACACAAAACCTTAAATTTTTTTTAATTCTGACAATAATTTTATCGTACTTTACAGAATAATTGAACTTTATGCGAAATACGTTTACAGTTTTTATAAATAATTGCTTTTCAAAAAGTTTCAAATTGGCATTTTAAGTAATTTTTTTTTTGAAAAATTTTGTTAAAATTAATATAAAATAGAACTTATTTCGATTTTTATAGTGTGAAAAATAATATAGAAAAAAATATAAAATAATAAAAATAATATAGACAAATCTTTCAAAAATTATTTTTGATTAATTTTTCGAATTAAATTTTCGAAAAATACAATTAAAAAAAAGTTCGAATAATTAAAATTTTGTAAAATTTAATTGGAAATAATTGATTTTTTTCAAGTATTTTATTATAATTTTTGAAAATCAACTTTTGAAGAATTTAAATAATTGCAAATTTGAAAAAAAATTAAATTCTCATATGTAAATTTTAATGATAAATCTTCAAGTGTAAATTTAAAAAATGAAAATTAATGAAAATTACTAATTCAGAGAATTATTTTATCATAATTTTTTAAGATTCAATTACTTTCGAACAAAATAAATTATAATTTTAAAAATTTACTAATTTAGACTTACATATTATAATTTCGGAAAAATCATGTTCATATTTATAATCCAAATTTTTCAAAAATTTGACTATTTTTTTAAATTTTAAAATTAATTATTAAAAGATTTTATCAAATTTCAATTCTTTGGAAATTTTTTTTATTTAAATAATTGAATTCTCGGAGAACTTTCGAAAAATTATTAAAAATTAATATAAATAATTGATTTAGAGATGAAGTTTAGTTAAGAATTGTAGAAAATAATAATTGAATTTTGGAATAATTGTAATTTTTAAAAACTATTAAATTTCAGAATGTTTTGGATTTAAAATTTTCGAATTTTATTTAAACAAATAAGAAGTATTTAAATATTTATTTAACAAAACTATTCAATTTTTGAATTGAATTTAGAAATCAGTGAAAGGGAAAATCAGGGAAATGTAAATAAAATTTGAGTGACAACACTGAATTAAATAAACGAGTTTTTCAACTTTTTTTCAATTTTTAATTGACTAAAGCAACTTTTTTGCTCTTTAAGGGGAGACTTCGACTACATTTTTTACAATATCAAGGAAATGATTTAAATCATCCATAAAATTATTTTTACAGTAATTTTTTCAGAGCAAATCAATGGTTGGAAAATAAAATTGTTCAGAAAATATTCTGACCCTTTTTGGGTTATTATTTTTCTTAAAAATTGATCAATTTTAAAATCCATCCTTAATTTTGTAAAAAATATTTTTTTATATCTACAAAAAATATTACCAAATAAAAAAATCGATTTTTTTTACAATTTTTAAAGCATTTTTTGACAAAAAACAATGTTTTTAGGTTGAAAACGCTAAAAGTACGATTGTTATTCAATTTTTTTTATATGGAAATTAACTTGTTAATTTTATTAACTAATTTCAAATCATAATTTTTTAAAATCTTGTATATAAATAACACAGTGCAACAGCATTTTTATTTTTGGAATCGCATAGGGTGATTTTTATAGGTTTTTTGATGCTGAATGCGAATCCGTAATCAGAATTGTTCCATCACCCTAGATTTTTGAGAAATTTGACCTTGAAAATTAAAAAAAGGCCGTTTTTGGGGTACTTTTTGGTTTTTTATCAGGATATAAAAATTTTTCCTAGGGTTTTCACTATGTGCGTACGAAAGCCCATATCTTCCTTAACAATTTTCAATTTGGACCTTTTAAAAATATCTATTTTTCGATGAGTTATCTTTGTTTGAAGTTCGCGTCGCATCATAAAATCAGCAAAAATGCCGTTTTTGAGGTATTTTTTTGTTTTTTATCAGGGTACCAAAATTTTTCTAGTGTTTTCATGATATACGTACGAAAGCTCATATCCTTCTCAACAATCTCCAATTTTGACATTTTAAAAATATCTATTTTTCGATGAGCTATCCTTGTTTGAAGTTCGCATCGTAACGTCAAATGGGATAACAGTGAGAAAAATATTAACATAATATTAATATTATTAATATTAACCCATTAAATCTCAAGCAGATACCAATGATTCATTAAAGAAATTATTATATTTTTAGGAAAATCAAAAATAAATTGACCATTTTTTTTGTTTATCATTTCAAATTCTTTAACAATAATTTAACAAAAACAAAGATAACTCATCGAAAAATAGATATTTTTAAAATGTTTAAATTGGAGATTGTTGAGGAGGATGTGAGCTTTCGTACGCATATCATGAAAACCCTAGAAAAAATTTTTGTACCCTGATTAGAAACCAAAAAGTATCCTAAAAACGTCCTTTTTCAATTTTCAAGGTCAAATTTCTCGAAAACCTTGGGTGATGGAACAATTCTGATTACGGATTCGCATTCAGCATCAAAAAACCTATAAAAATCACCCTATGCGATCCCAGAAATAATAAAAAAGTGAAATTCTGTTGCACTGTGTAATCGTTGTATTCCAGTAATCTGTTCACAGTTTGAAGTTAGTTGTTGTTTGCTTCTTTGTTTCCTAAGTTTTGGAAAAAATTTTCTTTTGAAATATTTTCAACTTTAAAATTAATGTATCGAAAATTATTGAATTCTTGCAAAATACTTATAAAAAATTTTTAAAATAATTGAATTCATTTCAAGAATTTTATTAACATTTTTTCAAATAATTGAATTCTTTCGAGAAAATATAATTAAAATTATATTGAAAATAATTTAATTCTTGGCAAGATTTTTTTTAAAATTCTTTAAAATAATTGAATTATTTTGAAAAATTTATTGCAATTTTCTTGAAAATAATGGAGTTTTTTTTAATAATAATATTCACTGAAAATTTTGAAAGTAATTGAATTTTATGAAGATTTTCTTTTTAGTTTTTAAAATAATCGTGTTTATTATTAATTGTAATTAATAATTTTTCTATTAAATTATATTAAAATTATTCATACAAAATTGAATTCTTTTAAACAATTTTATTAGAGTTTTTGTAAATAATAACATTTTTTTTAAGAATTTCATTAAGTTTCCTAAAAATAATGTAATTTTTTAAAATAATTTTAATTGAACATTTCTAAAATAATTGAAATTTACTAAGAATTTTATTAAAAGCTTTTGAGAACAATTGAATTGTTTAGAAAACTTTAATAATTGAATTTTTTCTTAGAAATTTTATTAAAATTGTATTGAAAATAATTGAATTTCTCAGAAGAATTTTATTATTTACAAAAATAATTGAATTCTTGACAAGAATTTTACCTACAATTTATAAAAATAATTGAATTGTTTCGCAGTATTTTATCAGAATTGTTGAAAATAATTTAATTTTTATTACAACTCTGGAAAATAACTGAATTTTAATAATATTTTTAAAAATAATTGTTTTCTTTCGAGGAATTTTTCAAAATTGTATTGAAAATAATTGAATTCCTCCGAAACGTTTTATTATTTATGAAAATAACTGAATTGCTTTAAAGAATTTTATTATATTAAAATGTTTTAATCTTGCGAAGAATTTTCTTGTTTATGAAAATAATTGAATTCTTGCGGAGGATTTTACAAATCATAAAAATAATTTAATTGTTTCGAAGAATTTTATCTTAATTTTTGAAAATAATTGAATTGCTCTAAAAAATATTATTATTTATGAGAATAATGAAATTTTTGCGAAAAATTTTATTAAAATTGTTTAATAATAATAAACAGGGAATATTCCATATTATGTACTTAATAAGTGAATTCTTTAAATTTTGAATCTTGAATCATTCAAAAATTGATGTTTATTTTTGAAAATATAAAATTTTTTAATTTTAAAAATAATAATAAATGGAATACTGCGTTCCACGCGCATCATTTCCTGGTAAAAAATAAAATGTATAAAAATTATGATTTGAAATTAGTTTGAAAAATAAACAAGTAAATTTTCTTATAAAAATTAGATAACAATGGTATGTTTTAGCATTTTCAACCATTCAAAAAAATGCTTCGAAAATTGTAAAGATCAATTTTTTGTAGATACAAAAACGTATTTTCTACAAAATTACGGATGGATTTTAAAATATATATAAATTTTTAAGAGAAATAAAAATCCAAGAAGGGTCAAAATATTTTCTCACCATTGATTTCTTCTGAAAAAATGACTATAAAAATAATTTTATAGAAGATTTAAATAATTTTCTCGATATAGTTAAAAATGTAGTCGAAGTCTGGAAATATGAGGGTAAAAGAAAATGAAATTCTCGTAGCAATTGATATATGTACTTAAAAATGCTTTTGAATTGTTGCAGGTACGCTTTAGATAATGACAAAATAATATTGCGGGGATGCGTGCTTCGAAACACCCAATGGTGCTATGGCATGGTGATCTTTGCAGGCAAGGATACCAAATTAATGCAAAACTCAGGGAAGACCAAGTTTAAGAGAACCTCCATAGATAGACTGCTGAATCTGCTCATCATTGGGATAGTGTTCTTTTTACTTTCCTTGTGTTTATTTTGTATGATTGGCTGTGGTATTTGGGAAAGTTTAGTTGGACGTTACTTTCAAGTGTATTTACCATGGGACTCGCTTGTACCAAGTGAACCGTACGCGGGCGCGACAGTTATTGCTTTTCTCGTCTTTTTTTCATACGCCATCGTTTTAAATACAGTTGTCCCAATAAGTTTATACGTAAGTGTCGAAGTTATACGATTTGTACAATCATTTCTTATTAATTGGGATGAGGAGATGTATTTCGAGCCCACCAATACACACGCGAAAGCACGGACTACAACATTAAATGAAGAATTGGGCCAAATTGAATATATATTCTCCGATAAAACGGGAACACTAACGCAAAATATTATGACCTTCAATAAGTGTTCTATAACCGGTAAATCCTATGGAGATATCGTCGATCAAGTTACTGGGGAAATCATTGATCTTACTGAGGTGAGTTGCATTATCTCTCTCTTTCTCTTTCTCTTTAAATACCAGGATTTAATTACTTCTTTCTTATCAGTGATTCTTATCGTAAACCTTCTTTTTAAAAAAAGGCATATAAGCATTCCTTGTGTTTTTCCGCTTGAAGCTTTTGAAAAATTGTATTTATCGCATTAGCAGGGTGGCCACATGTCAGTGAAGTCAGTAAATTCAAGGAAACAAAATTTTTGTCAGTAAAGTCAGGGAAACAAATTTTTTGTCAGTAAAATTAGGGAAAAATTTTCTTTTCAGGGAAATTAAGAAAATTGCGACTTTTTCGACTTTTCTTCCAAACATTGCAACAAAATACCACAATTTTTAGTAAAAAAAAAAGAGTGCAACTTATTTTGATTTTTATAATGGGAAAAATAACTATAAACAAATCTTTCAATAATTTTTTAACATAATTAAATTTTTCAAATATATTTATAATAAAAATTTTTTTGAATAGTTTAAATTTTGTAAAATTTATTTGAAAATAATTAATTTATTTCAAGTATTTTGTTACAATTTTTGAAAATCAATTTTTAAAGAATTTTAATTCTAAATTTTGAAAATAATTGAATTATCAAAAATTTTAATGAAAAATCTTTAAAGGTAAATTTAAAAATGAAAATTAGTTTCTAATTTTTTAAAATTCAATACTTTCAGTATTTTCAATTACATATTTCCAAAAATTCAAGTACATACAAAAATAATAACATTTTAGAATTATTTTTTACATTTTGGAGAAAACAATCATGTTCAAAATTAATTAATATTAATATTAATATTAATACATTATAATAATCGTAAGTTTCCTTTCCGTTAGCAAATTATCTGCATTCATTTGTTTGTTTTGAAAATTAAATTTTGTGGGTTAAGTATTGGCATTTTTTATATTTTTTAATGTCAAACTTTTTAATGTGTTTTGATGTGTTTCAATGGTTATGTTTTATATTATTATGTGTTTAATTCAATTTTTAACTTTTCAACTATCATTCATTCTGAAGGTAAATACTTTTTTATAATTTAATTTAATGTATATAATTTAATGTTAACATTATTTCAATATTAATAAAAAAAAGTTATTTGATATAACATTCAATTGAATTTTATTTTCATAAATTGCTTAATTACAGAATATTTAGTTTTTTAACTTTTTAATAATTTTTTAACTTGCAAAACTCTAAATACTGTAATTATTAAAAATATAATATTTATTTTTCATAATTTTTGACAGATGTAATTATTATTAGAAATAATTACTATATTATTAAAGACTACAACATAAATTTAAATTATCAAAGTATATTTTACAAAATAGTAATTTAATACCTACAATTTTTATTTCTTATAATTTTTATAATATAAAAATATTGTTTAATATAATGTTAATTTTATTAACTTTTAACATTTTTTTATGTTTTAAATTAATACGTGATTCATAGAATATTCAACTAGTCAATGAAAATATATTGTCAATTTTTTTAATTAAAAATATATTACATCAAATATCTTTTCTCTATATTTAAATAATGTTAACATTAAATTATGGACACATACCTGCCGAGTAAATGATAATTATAAAGTTAAAAATTTAATTAAACAACCAATGTATAGAATTAAAATTTTGGGGCTATGGTACGCCTAAAATTCACCTGGCATTTTTTTTCGTTGTTTCTAAAAACGAATTTAGAATTTTTTTAATTTGATGCTTCATTATATTATATTACATCTTGTAAGTAAATAATTAATGAAAGTTATAATTAGTATTTTTACTACAGATTTTTTGTTTTCCAAAGAAATTAGAATTAAAAGTGGTTTAACTTTATCATTTTCAATTAATTTAATATTTTGCAGTTATGTTAGATTCGAAAGATACGGAATTCTTTGTTTAAAACTAGCTAAATGAATGATTATTTTTTTAATTTTTAGAATAATTAAAAGTTTCGTTATCAAAATTATTTTGAAAATAAAAGTATAAAATATGTAACAATTTTTGCGATATTCAATTTTCTTCGTACAACAAGAAAGTTTAACAGCAGTAATAGCATTTTAACAAAATTTATCGGATTCACTTGTAATTCGTTTCTAATGCGTTAAATTTGACATTAAATTTTAGAAATTCAAGATAGAACTTCCTTTTCAGGATTCCTGCAGAAATCTGAATTTAAAATTCCATACCTTTTCGATGTTTTCCAGGTCAAATTTTTACGAAATTCCAGTGGAATTTTAAATCTAATTTCAATATTTTTGGGCTCTTTAAAAACACTTTACTTATTTAATAGTCTCCACCCTTTGGTAAAAATTCTAAAATTATCAAAATTTATCAAAAATTCGAAAAACCGATTTTTTTAAAATTCAACAGTAATTTTATTTTCTTTGCTAGTATTTAGCTTCATTATTTTTGTGCTCTTGAAAAATACTTTACTTATTAAATAGCCTCGACTCTTTGGTAAAAAATCTAAAATTATCGAAAATTATCAAAAATTCAAAAATCCGAATTTCTTAAAATTCAATATTTTTTGAGAATAATTTAATTATTTTTAGAGAATTTTAAATTCTTGTTGAAATTGAATTTTATGGAAATTTTTGAAAATAATATATAATTCTTTCGTGTAATTTGATTTAAATTTGATTAAAAATGATTGAATTCCTGCAAAGAATTTTACTATTTATAAAATTAATTGAATTCTTGCGAAGAATTTTACTATTTATAAAACTACTTGAATTTTTTCGAAAGATTTATTAAAATTTTCAAAAAAATTGAATTTTTTCGAAATGTGTTAAAAATTTTTTAAAAAATTGAATTCTTCCGTGGAATTTAATTAAAATTGTTTTGAAAATCATTTGATTTTTGTAAAGATTTTACTATTTAAAAAAATAATTGAATTATTTAGAAGGATTTATTAAAATTTTAGAAAATAATTGAATTCTTTCGTGAAATTTTATCAAAATTTTTGAACATAGGTATGAACAGTAATAATTAATTTTTTATTAATAAGTGAATTTTAAAAATTTTCATTGTGAAATTATTTAAAAAATTTATATTTGAAAATAAAAAATTTTGTAATTTGCATAACAATAATAAAATGAATACCACGTTTCGCGCGTAACATTTGCTACTATTTAATTAAAATTCATCAAAAAATTAATTAGTTTTTTTAAATTATACAAAAATCCTTTTAAGAAATTCAATTATTTTCAAAAAATTACATTAAAATATTTTTCAAAAAAATTAATTATCTATAAAAATTTTATACCTTAATAACTTAAGAAAAAACTATGGAGAGTTACAATTATATTATAAAAAATTGAGTTTTTGTATTTAAATACATAATTGAATTCTATAGAAGAACTTTCGGAAAATTATTTAAATTAATTGATTCAAAGATGAAGTTTAGTTAAAATTTTGGAATATAATTGAATTCAGGAAGGGTTATAATTGTAATTCTTAGAAACTATTAAAATTCATAAATTTTACTCATTTTCCGTAAAAATTCATATTTTCCTGTAAAAAAGAATTTTGTCAGGAAAATTAATTTTAATGTCAGTAAATTGTCAGGGACATGTTAGGGAGATTGATAAATTGAAACTTGTGACCACCCTGATTAGGCTTTTAATTTTTTGAGCATTTTTTCCCCTTTGTATTAAATGCCCCATTTATTTAAAAATTTTTGTACTATATGTCCGGGTTATTGTGGTACAGGAAAATTTGATTTTAGATATTATTTTTTAACAGCATAACACGTTTGCCTATTTCAAAGGATTGCAAATTTCTCCAAGTACCATAATAACCATTTCACGCTTTTTTCTACGTTAAATAAAATTTTGTATTTGTTTTATTTACGATTTCTCTCGTATATTTGTTTGATATTGAAAGCATTGGCAAACAATTTTTTTTTAAGCAAAGAAACAATTTTTCGGAAACTAAAATTTCCACTTTCCAGCGCATCAAAATTTTATAGCTAATAAAAAAAGATAAAAAATAAGTGTAATTAAAAATGCATGTACTTATTAAATTTTATTAAAATTTTGAGAAATAATTGAATTCTTCTCAGAATTTGATTACGTTTTTTTTTCAAATAATTTAAGTCATTCAAGGAATTAAATTAAAATATTGAAAATAATTGAATTCTTTCGAAGAATAGATACTATGAAAGGTTTAGACACTAATTGAATTCATTCAAAAACAATCGTTAATTTTTATTTTTGGATTATAGTCAATTTTGTTAATAATTGTAATTAATAAATTTCCTAATAAATTATATTAAAATTATTCATAGAAAATTAAATTCTTTTAAACAATTTTATTCTAGTTTTTGTCGATAATTACATTTTTTTAAAGAATTTCATTAAATTTCATAAAAATAATATAATAGTTTTCTAAAATAATTTTAAAATTGAAATTTTTGCAAATAATCGAATTAAACAAAGAATTCTTTTCCAACATTTTAAAATAATCGTGTTTGTTAATAGTTGTAATTAAGAATTAGATTATTGAATTTTATTAAAATTGTATTGAAAGTAATTGAATTCCTAAAAAAATTATATTATTTACAAAAATAATTGCATTCTTGCGAAGAATCTTACTATTCATAAAAAAAATTGAATTGATTCGAAGAATTTTTTAAAATTTTAGAAAATATTTGATTTTTTTCGAAAAATTTAAAGAAATAATTTAATCCTTTCGCGTAGTTTTATTAAAATTTTGTTAAAAATAATTAATTCCTGCAAAAAATTTTACTATTTGTTAAAATAATTGAATTGTTTTGAAGAATTTATGAAAATAAAATAAAATAATAAACAATACGATTATAGGTATTTGGAAATAATTTTTAAAAGTAATAAAATTTAATTTTTTTAAATATAAAATTTATTTTTTTTATAATTCTTCGAAAGAATTCACCTCATAATATCAATAAATACATAGTAAATTTTTCAAAAATTAAATTATTTTTTTTAATTTTGCAAAAATTCAATTATTTATAGAAATAATAAATTTTTTCGCAGAAGTTCAATAATTTAAAATTTTTTTAATATAATTCTATTCAAGAATTCAATTATCTTCAAAAAATAATTAAATTGTCGATGTACTGCTTTTCATGAAAATCATTGAATTCTTGCAAAGTATTCATCAAAAAATGTGAAAATAATTGAATTGTTTTGAAGAATTTTTTTCAATTTTCTTGAAAATAATGAAGTTTTTTTAAAATAATGTTTACTGAAAATTTTGAAAATAATTGAATTTTATGAAGATTTTCTTTTAAAGTTTTTCAAACAATCGTGTTTATAATTAATTGTAATTAATAATTTTCCTATTAAATTAATATTAAAATTATTCATAGAAAATTAAATTCTTTTAAACAATTTTATTAGAGTTTTTGTAAATAATTACATTTTTTTAAAATTTCCATTAAATTTCGTAAAAATAATGTAATTTTTTAAAAATAATTTTAATTGAAAATTTTGAAAATTACCTGAAATTTACAAAGAATTTTATTAAAAACTTTTGAGAACAATATTGAATTGTTTGGAAAAATTTTATTACATTTTTTAAAAATAATTGAACCGGTTAGAGAAATTTTGTTCAAATTATCTTGAATATAATTGATTTTTTTCTAGAAATTTTATTAAAATTATATTAAAAATAATTGAATTTCTCAGAAGAATTTTATTATTTTTTACAAAAATAATTGAATTCTTGCCAAGAATTTTACCTACAATTTATAAAAATAATTGAATTGTTTCGAGGAAATTTTATCAGAATTGTTGAAAATAATTGAATTTTTATTAAAACTCATGAAAATAAATGAATTCCTCCGAAACATTTTATTATTTATGAAAATAATGAAATTCTTGGAGAAAATTTTTGAATAATAATAATAGACAAGAATATTTAATATTATGTACTTGTAAAGTGAATTCTTTAAATTTTGAATCTGTAATCATTCGAAAATTTTGCGAGCGTAACTTTTTCTTGTATATTAATAAATTACATTAAAATTAACATTTGAAATCAATAAACATTGTGAATATTGTGTATATAAAATTTTTGTTGCGTTGAATAATTGTGAGAAATGTTTCGATATTTTTTTTATGGAGAAAAATTGTATCATGACATTTTTAAGATTTTCTGGTTTTGTTTCTTTGAATTGTAAAAAATTGATGAACTCAGTAATAATTGAAGAATATGAATCGAGTATGTTGCGTATATTAACACAAGTATGTCAATGCTTTTATCCCGCTTATGTCATGCACATTATTTAGCATGTGTGTGCTGCATGTAGACGGGCAAAGCAGTGCAGATGCCAATTATCAAGTGGAAGAATGGACATGACTTTGTCCGTCAAGTGTATACTCCTCTTAGTGGCGCAGACACTCATCTTCTGGGACAAGACGATAGAATATCCAGTCCAACACCCGAATCGATCATCAATGGTGTTTCCAAAATTTCTCCTAAACTTTCAGTACGCATGCTTGTATCAAATGCTTTTCTTATTTTATGCCATTTTTTTTTGTCGTCATAGAATTCGTTAAACCTCTTTTTTTTTGGTATTTGTGATTCCTCTGTGTGAGGGAAGATTTATTTTTTTTATAAAACATTGTTAGTGACCTGAACTGGTCTGTCAATTTTATTTTCAATCTATATTTTTTATTTTTACCAAAAGCAGGGCTCGAACTAGGTCCTTAAATCCCGTAAAGTAAATTTGCTTCAAGTCAGTAAAAGTAAGTTTTTTTTTTTAAAAAGGTCCGAGAAAAAACGAAAAGTTCGTAAATTGTACAATACAATTTGGAAAATTTTAGATAAATTTAAAATGATGGGAAAAATTCAATTATTTTCAAAAGTAATAAAATTCTTCGCAAAAATACAATTATGTACAAAAATTATTTAAAATTCTCGTCAAAATTTCCAATTTTCTTTAGAAATAATTAAATTCTTCTCCGAAATTCAATTATTTTCAAAAAATTTTCCTGAATTCAATGGTTATTAATATTTACTATTCTAATAAAATTTTCCAAAAGAATTCAATTGTTTTAAAAAAAAATTTAATAAAATTATACGCAAATCTTTAATTATTTTCATAAAATAATAAAAATTTCACAGGGATTCAATTATTTTCGTAAATAAAATTCTTTTTAGGAATTCAATTATTATTTTCATAAATAATAAAACTCATTGCAGATTTCCAATTATTTTTAATACAATTTTAATCGAATTCCTCAAAAAATGTATACTCTTAAAAATTTTATTAAAATTCATCCAAACAATTCAATTATTTACAAATTTATTGATAAAATTCTTTATAAGAATTCAATTACAATTATTCAATAAATTGTTTTTTTACATTTAAATAATTGAATTCTTGTCAAATTTTCTAATAAAAATTGATTTAAAAATGGATTTCAGATAAAATTTTAAATAATAATTGAATATTAAAAGCATTACAGCGTGAATTTTGAGAAAAAATTGCATTTTGAAAAGGTTTCAAATTAATATTAATGAAATTTTCCAAAAGAATTCAATTAATTTCAAAAATTTTAATAAAATTCTTGTAAAAATTTTAATTATTTTCAAAATTTTTTCTCAATTTAATAATTTACAATATCTACTGTTTCAATAAAATTTTTCAAAAGAATTCAATTATTTTCATAAATAATAAAATTATTACAGGGATTCAATTATTTTTATAAGTAAGAAAATTTTTTTTTAGGATTTCAATTATTTTCATAAATAATAGAACTTATCTCAGAATTTCAATTTTGTTTAATACAATTTTAATACAATTTTCATCGAAGTTTTAGAAAAATGTAATTATTCTTAAAAATTTCGAGAATTAAAATTCGTCGAAAGAATTCAATTATTTAAAAAGTTTTTGATATAATTCTTTATGGGAATTGAATTTTAAGAAACATTCAATTATTCAATAAATTATTTATTATTTTAAATTGAATTCTAGTAAAATTTTCTAAAAAAAATTGATTTTAAAATGAATTTCAGTTACAATTTTAGATAATAATATTGAATATTAAAAGCATAATAGCATGCATTTTTATAAATAATTGTATTTTGAAAAGGTTTTAAATTAAAATCTTTGTAAATCTGAATTTTTCATACTTTTAACTATAAAAATTCGGTGGATTTAATTTTTTTGAGAAAGTTTAATTGCGGATTTTTCTTTGAAGTTTTTATTTTCTAATACGTATTTATAATTGAAAAATTTACGAATAATTGAAATTTTTGTAAAATTAAAGTGTAAACAATTGAATTTAAAAATTCTCGAAGAACTTTTTGAAAAATTATTAAAAATAATGCATTTATAGAAAAATTTTAGTTAAAAACACGAAAAAAATTTTAATTTGAAAAAATTACAAATTATTGCAGAAATTCAATTATTTTCAAGAGTTAATAATATTCTTCGCAAAAATTAAATATTTTCCAAAAATAATAAAATTCTTCTTAGGGATTTTATTATTTTCATAAATAATCAAACTTAGCGCAGAATTTCAATTATTTTTAAAATACAATTTTAATCAAATTTCTCGAAAAATATAATTATTCTTAAAAATTTTTATTAAAATTCTTTATGAGAATTTATTTAAAAATTAGTTAAAATTTTAGATATAATAATTGAATATTAAAAGTATTATAGCATGAATTTTTAGAAACAATTATATTTTGAAAAATTTTAATTGAATTTTATTTTTGAAATTATTTCCAGTTTTTATTTTCTAAATATTAAATTGAAGAATTTCTTGATAATCATAATTCGTAAAACTGAATTGTAAATTTATTTGAAAATTCTTTAGAAGAAACATTTGCAAAAATTATTAAAAATAATTAATAATTGTTCAATTATTTCCTTCGAAGGATTTTAATATAATCAAAGAATTTAATTTAAATTGTGTTAAAAATAATTGAATTCTTTTGAGAAATTTTTTTTAAAATAGTAGATTTTGAAAATATTTGAATTTCAGCGAAGAATTTTATTATTTGTAAAATTGTAATTGAATTCTTGCAAAAAATGTTTGAAAATAATTGCATTTTTCGATGAATTCATTTAAAATTGTATTAAATGTAATTTAAATCCTAGGAAAAATTTGAATGGTTTTGTAATTGAAGAATTTCGTAAATAAATGTAATAGAACATTTTTTTGAGAATCTTATAAATTGTTAGAGTAAATCAGAATATTCTTAAGGCTTAGGGAAAAAGTCAAAATTTCGTCAAAATTCTTCAATTATTTTCGAAAAATTACATTTCAATATTTATAAATTTTTTGAGAAATTATTTCGAATTGAAATTCTTCAAAAATTTTATTATTTTTAAAATATTTTTTAAAAACTCAATTATTTTTAAAAGATTTTATTAAATTTCAATTATTTTCAAAGGTTTTACTAAATTTCAATTTTTTAAAAGATTTTACCAAATTTCAATAATTTTTTGGAAATTTTTTAATTGTAGGTATATTATGTAATTGTAAAACTATTGTCTTTCAAAAATTATTTAGAAATTTGTTTAAATAGTTAATTTTACGAATTTCTTTATTAAAATTTTTAATAATATTCTATCTTAATATCTTTAAAAAGAGAAATGGACGGATTCAATTATTATAAAAAATTGAATCTTTGTATTTAAATAATTGAATTCTCGAAGAACTTTCGGAAAATTATTAAAAATTAATTTTAGATAATTGGTTTAGAGATGAAGTTTAGTTAAAAATTGTAGAAAATAAATGAATTTTTTGAAGAGTTATAGTTTTAATTTTTAGAAATTATGAAATTTCAAAAGTTGAAATTTTTTTAATTTTCTTTCCTGTGAAAAAAGAAATAAGAAGTATTTAAATATTTATATTTAGCAAAATTATACAAGTTTTGATTAATTGAATTTAGAAATTAGTGAAGAATCAGGGAAATACAAAATAAAATTTTGGTGTCAACACTAAATTAAATAAACGACTTTTTCGACTTTTTTTCTATTTTTTATCGACTAAAGCGACTTTTTTTGTTCGTTAAAGTCGATCCGAGGCCTATACCTAGTTATGAAAAATTTAATTTCTAGTTTGAAATTTGAAATCTAGTTTGAAATTAGTTCTCTTATTTGACTCGGACTGTTTATATTTTTGTTAGTAATTAATCCGTAAATGGTCCGTAATTTTTTATTTTTGGTCCGCAAAGTCCGTAATTTTAAATACTTTCAATGGTTCGAGCTCTGCAAAAGTCGAATTTTGGCAAAAATTTTCTCTTTCACATTGGAGCGTCATATTTATTTGTATCGTTTGAGAATGTCTTTTTTTTTGCAGATTTAAGTAAAGAAGATAGAGATTGTAAATAATTGGAAAACACTTTTTTTATTTGCAGGCGGTACTACCCTCGATAGACTTTTCATTTAATAAAGACTACGAGCCGGAATTTAAATTCTACGATAAACAACTACTGGAGGCAGTGAAACGAGAGGATCCGGATGTGCACAGTTTTTTTCGACTGCTTGCACTCTGTCATACTGTGATGGCAGAGGAGAAGAATGGTCATCTTGAATATCAAGCTCAATCACCGGATGAGGCGGCACTTGTCTCGGCAGCGAGGAATTTCGGTTTTGTTTTCCGTGAAAGATCACCGAATAGTATCACGATCGACGTTATGGGCAAACGTGAAATATATGAACTTCTTTGTATTTTAGATTTTAATAATGTGAGAAAACGAATGTCTGTTGTATTGAGGAAAGATGGCTTTATTAGATTATATTGTAAGGGCGCCGATAACGTTATTTATGAGCGTCTAAAACCAGGCAGCGATGAAGTCATGACTAAAACACAGGAGCATCTTAATAAATTTGCTGGTGAAGGTTTAAGAACATTGTGCCTTTCCGTAAGGGATATCAACGAATGTTTTTTTAATGATTGGAAACAACGGCATCACGATGCAGCGCTTAGTAATGAAAATCGTGACGACAAATTGGACGCAATTTATGAAGAAATCGAAAGGGACATGACACTCTTGGGAACAACGGCCATTGAGGATAAACTTCAGGACGGTGTGCCCCAAACAATTGCCAATTTGTCATTAGCGGGAATCAAAATTTGGGTATTGACTGGTGATAAGCAAGGTATGTCAACGAATTCAAATACAAAACCTTCAATTTTTTTTATTTCTGAAAATAATCATTTTTTTTAAATAATTTAATTTTTGAACAACTAAATATAAAATTAATACTTATAAATTATTTAATGAAAAGTTTACTTAAAAATTTCAAAATTAATTCAATTTTAAAAGAGTTGCGTTTGCAATTTCCATAAATAGATGAACTTTAAATTGTTTCAAATTTAAAACTTTATAAAATTTAAATTTTGAATGAATTTAATTAGAAATTTTAAAGAATTTAGATTTTTCACAAATTTTAATAATTCAAATTCTCCTGAAATTAGTTAAATTTTTTAATATGGATTTAATTAATTATTAAAAATAATAGAAGAATTTTAGTTAAAAACACTAAAATAATCTGAATTTTGGTAAAGTTACAAATGATTGGAGAAATTCAATTATTTTCAAAAGTAATAAAATTCTGCGCAGAAATTCAATTATGTTCAAAAGTTTAAAAAAATGTTTGTCAAAGTTTCAATTATCTTTATAAATATAACAAAATTCTTTTCCGAAACTCAATTATTTTCAAAAATTTGCCTCAATTCAATGGTCTTCAATCTACTATTTTAATAAAATTTTCCAAATTAATTCAATTATTTCAAAAAACTTTCAATAAAATTCTACGCTAATATTTAATTATTTTCATAAATAATAACAATTTCACAGAAATTCAATTACTTAAAACGGAATGTGCATAAAATTTTCTAAAAAAAAATCGATTATATAAAAAATGTTAATAAAATTCTTCGTAGGAATTCAATTTTTTTCACAAATAATAAAATTTTTCAGAGGGATTGAATTTTTCTATTTTATAATATTCTTCGGAAGAATTCAATTATTCTCATAAATGATAAAACTCATCGAAGAATTTCAATTTTTTTAAACACAATTTTCAAACAAATTTCTGGAAAATATGCAATTATTATTAAACATTTTATTAAACGTCGTTGATAGAATTCAATTATTTGAAAATTTATTAGTAAAATTCTTTATGAAAGTTCAATTTTAAGAAATAATCAATTATTCAATAAATTACTTATTTTTGTATTCAAATAATTGAATTCTCGTAAAATTTTCTAATAAAAATTGATTTAAAAATGAATTTCAGATAAAATTTTAGATAAAATTAAATATTAAAAGCGTGAATTTTGAGAAATAATTGAATTTTGAAAAAGTTTCAAATTAAAATCTTTGAAAATCAGAATTTTTTATACTTTTAACTATAAAAATTCTGTAACTATAATTAAAATTTAAATTGAATTCATGCTTTGCAATCAAAAAATAATAAAAAAAAAGTAGGTCTAAGGCTGAAAATAAGTAGTAAAAAAGTAGCTGTCGAAAAAATAAGTTTGACGACTAAAAAACACTCGTTTTAGTCGATTCAATGTACAAGAAGAGAAAAATACTTTATTCAGGGTTATCACAAAAAATTTATTATCTATTTTCCTGATTCTCAGAAAAAATATTAACTTCATTCCTTATTTTGTAAATAACTTCATTTCTAAATTTTTTAATATTCAATTATTTTCCAATTTTTGAGATAGAATTCTTTAAAAAATACGGTTGTTCTTGAAAATAATTTATAAAAGCAAAAAAAAAATAAATGTCTTTAAAATACCTATAAAATTCTTTTAAATTAAATTTGACAAAATTGTTGAAAATAATTGAATCGTTTTAAAAAACTTTATTCAAAAACTTTGAAAGTAATTAAATTGCTTCAAGAAAATTAATTAAAATTGTACTGAAAATAATTGAATTCTTCTAAAAAATTTTATCAACATGTTTGAAAACAAATGAATTCATTCAAGGAATTTATTAAATTTTTTTTAAATAATTGAATTCATTCAAGAAATTTTATTAAAATACCTATTGAAAATAAAATTTGAATTCTATAAAAAAAATTTCGTTGATTTTTTTAATATAATCGATTTTGTTACTATGACTGTAATTAATAATAATTAAACTAACAAATTTTATTACAAAATTAAAATTATTGATATAAAATTAAATTCTTTTAAACAATTTTATTAGAGTTTTTGTAAATAGTTAAATTCTTTGGGAGAATTTCTGTAAGTATTTTGAAAATAAGGAAGTTATTTTTAATAATTTTAATTGAATCGAATAAAGCATTTGTTTTCAACATTTTAAAATAATTGTGTTTGCTAATAATAATAATGAAAATTTTTAATTTGATTAAATTTCTACTGCAAATAAGTGTATCCTTGAGAAGAATTTCATTATATTTATTAAAATATTTAATTCTGCCAAGCATTTTAAACTATTTATAAAAATAATTGAATTCTTTGAAGGAATTTTATTAAAATTTTTTTAATATTGAATTCTGTAAAAAGAAATTTTATTAAAATTGTATGGAAAATAATTAAATTCTTATAATTTTATTATAAAAAATGTGAACGTAATTGAAAATTCCTCAGAAGAATTTTATTATTTATGAAAAAAATCGGCTAATTTAATTAAAATTGTATTAAAAATAAGTCAATTCTTCAGGCAAATTTTATTGAAATTATACTGAAAGTAATTGAATTTTCTTCTAAATACTTTTATCGACATTTTTGAAAATAATTGAATTGTTTTAAAGAATTTTATTTAAAACTTTTGAAAATAATTAATTCTTCTTAAAACTTTTATCAAAATTTTTGAAAATAATTTGAATTCTTTTTGAACAGTTTTATTAAAAACTTTTGAAAGTAATTAAATTCTTTCAAGAATTTTATTAAAATTTTTGAAAATTAATTTATTGGTTTGTAGAAACTTAAAATTCTTCCCAGGAATTTAAAAATTCTTTCAAAAAATTTTATAAACATTTGTAATTTGTAATTTGTAATTCAATTTTGTCACGAAATTCAATTTAAATTTAAGAAAAAAAATAATTTAATCGTTTCGAAAATAATTGAAATTCTTTTGAGGACTTTAGTTATTGAAAATAATTGAATTCCTGGAAAAAATTATATTATTTATGAAAAGAATTGAATTCTTGCGAAAAATTTTATTATATTTACGAAAATAATTGAATTGCTGCGAAAAATTTTATTTCAATTTTCGAAAATAATGGAATCTGAAATAATTCAAAAATTCTAGTTGATAATTGAAAATAACAAGATTTGATATTTGCATAATAATAATAAAAAATTAAATACTGCATTTTAGCGAGTAACTTTTGCTAGTTTTTAATAAATTATAAAAGTTTAAAAATTAGTTTTTAAAAAATACTGTAATGCAAATTTTTGTAAATAATTGAATTCATATTCAATTTAAAGTTAGTTATTATATTAAAATGTTAAGTCATTAAATAGTAATTTTAATGTTAAATGTAAAAAGGTAACAACTAAAAGTGTTTATACGTGAAAATTGGTTGAAATTTAAGAAATTTGTTTTTTACAGAAACGGCAATCAACATTGGTTACTCGTGTCAGTTATTAACGGACGATCTCACTGATGTCTTCATTGTGGATGCAATTACTTACGATGGAGTGGAAACTCAGTTGACACGGTATCTTGAAACAATAAAAGCAGCTTTCAACCATGAAAATAAGCCGGCTCTCTCCATCGTTACATTCAGGTGGGACAAGGAAAGGTCAGGCAAACGAAAGAGACGGAGTCAAATCTATTATCTTCCATTCTTCATACATTTATATAAATATTTATATTTATTTATTTTTTTATTTATTTATTATACTTTTAACCGGTAACGCATTTATTGAAAGATTACCTTCTTCACCTTGAATGTGGCACCATGTTCTATGTGGTTATGCTTTTATTGTTTTACATTCAGGAAATTCTCTATTTTTTTTTCTTAGAATTAAATTTCTTTTGTTTTTCACAATTTAATTTAATTTTTTTCTTTTAATTTTCCATTTTATGTATTATCTTTTACATTTTAATTTTATTTTACATTTTAACTTCCTTTTATACATTTTGATTTTCTTTTACATTTCCATTTTCTTTCATATTTTAATTTTCTTTTACATTTCAATTTTCTTTCATATTTCAATTTTCTTTTACATTTTAATTTTATTTTATATTTTTATTTCCTTTTATTAATTCATTGAACTTATTTTCATCTCGTTTACATTTTAATTTCCTTTTATTGAGTAGAATTTTTTCCTTTTATTTCATTGAATTATTTTATTCTCGAAATTGATATTTATATTTTTTTTATTTTTTATTAATTTTTTATTTCTGAAATTAGAGGTTTTTATTCGAAAAAGTTAAAATCATATAGGAATGAATTTTAAAAGATCATTATACGAGAGTTGTTTTTCAATTGAATGCATAATCCGCTAGTAACATCCCTTAAAAAGAGAAAATTCTCTATTCATTTGCGTTTGATGATCCTTATAAAAGAATATTATCTTTGTACATTGCATGCAGAAAAGTATAATATTCAAGGTTGCCACAGGTCAGGGAATGCAGGAAATTTAGAAAAAAGTCAGGGAGTTTTATCAAAAGTATTGGAAAAATATTAAATTTCTAGAATTCTATTCCTACCAATAATTGAACTTTTCAGAATTCATATTGAATTTATTTTAAACAATTTAATTATTATTATAGAACTATCATTATCAACTTCAATTTTTGGTATAATTTAAGATTCAAAATTTAAAAAATTCCTTTATTTAGTAATTAATTATTATAGATTACTTTCAAAAATTTTTTAAAAATTCTTCAAAACAATCAATTATTTTCATAAATAGTAAAATAAAACAAAATTTTTTAATTAAGTTCGTCAACAAAATTAACAAGAAGTCAATTATTTTTATAAATAATAAAAATCTTCGCAAGAAATCAATTATATAATAAAATTTCTTGAAAGAATCCAAATTTTTTTTTAATTTTAATAAATTCTTCACAACATTTCAATTACTTTCATAAAGAATTAAATTCTTTAGATGAATTCAATTATTTTGTATAAAAATTTAAAGAATTCTTTGCAGGAATTCAATTATTTTCATAAATAATAAAATTTTTCAGAGGAATTTTCTTTAAAAAGAATTCAATTATTTCAAAAAAAATTTTACTTAAATATAATAAACTCCTTACAAGAATTTAATTGTTTTCAAAAAATTTTAATAAAATTCTTCGAAACAATTAAATTATTTTCAAAAATTTTGATTAAATTCTTTAGAAGAATTCAATTATTTACAAAACAATTTGATTTAAAAAACATTCTTAAAAGAATTTAATGGTTTTCAAAAAATTTTAATTAATTCTTTCCAAGTGTTCAATTATTTTCTTAAATAATAAAATTCTTCTCAGGAATTCAATTATTTTAAATACAAATTACAAACCCTCGAAAGAATTGAATTAAATTAAAAAATTTGTAATAGTACAGTTATTCAAAACAATTCAATTGTTTTCATAAACAATTTAATTCTTTAGATGAATTCAATTATTTCTAATATAATTTTAACAAAAGTCTTCGCAGGAATTGAATTATAATAAAATTTTTCTAAAGAACTCATTTTTATTTTATTTTAATAAATTCTTTAGATGAATTCAATTAGCTGTTTTGAATATAATTTTATTAAAATCCTTTGCAGGAATTCAATTATTTTGAATATAATTTTAATAAAATTCTTCACAAGAATTCAATTATTTTCTAAAATAAATAAATTCTTTATATATGAATTTATTTATTTTGAATATATTTTAAATAAAATTCTTCACAGGATATTCAAAATTTTTTATAAAATTCTTTATAATTTAAAACAATTCAATAATTATTGTCGGTACAATTATAATGGGAATTCTTGGAGAATTATTCGAAAAAACTTGCAAGAAGTCATTTATTTTTTATAAAAATCTTTACACGAATTCGATTATTTTTTATAAATAGAAAAATTCTTTGCAGAAATTTAATTATTTAAAATAAAATTTTTGTCAAATTTCTCGAAAGAATTCAATTATTTTTAATAAATTTCAATAAAAATCTATACATAAAAATTGAATTACTTTCAATACAGTTTTAATGAAATTTAATGAAGAAATTCAATTATTTTAAATACAATTTTAAAAAAATTTCTCTACAGAATTAAATTGTTTTGAATACAATTTTAATAAATTTTCTCCATAGAATTCAATTATTTTTAATAAATTTTAATTAATTCTTTAGATAAATTAAATTATTTTCAAAACTTTCCATAAGATTCTTTAAAACAATTTAATTTGTTTTCAAAAATTGTAATAAAATTCTTTACAAATATAAATGTTTTCAGCTACAAAATTATAAAAATGTTACAAAAATTACAAAAAGTAATAAAAAAATTCAATCGGTTTCAAATTGAATTTCTGAAAAAATTGAATTTTAATAAATGTTAATTGAAAATTGAACTTCTAAAGAAGTTTGTTTTTTGAAAAATTTTTATTTAAATTAATTTGAAATTGAATTTTGAATAAATCTATAATAGAAAAATTTTTAAATTCTTGAAATTTCATGAAATTCAATAGTAAATATAAGTGTCTTTCAGAAATAATTGAAGTAAATTTTTTATTCTTGGAATAAATAATTGAATTCTCAAGAAACTTTCTCGGAAATTATAAATTCTAGATAATAATTGAATTAAAATGTTGAAAATGATTTTTAGAGAAGCTAGTGTAAAAAAACTATTGTTGTTTTGAATAATTTACAATATTATAGATATTCGAATATTACAATAAAATATTCTTTAGAGTTTGAGAAAAGGTTCAAAATTCCCTCTGGAAATAAGGGAAATGTCAGGGGAAAATTAAATTTTTGTGGCAACCCTGAATATTATTGAAAATCTCTATTATTCTCTAGTTTTCTAACTTCTATTTTCATTGTGGATCTAAACTAAAATTGAAAGAAAATACTTGAAAAAGAATTCCTAGTTTCTTAAGTAAAGGAAATTTTTGAAATATGTACCTCCTTACCGCGCCGTAGATATTAGAGTCTAGCTTTCTTCCTACTGTGCTACATTAGGTAACTTACATTTTATGCGAAGATGATAATAATTAAATGCTTGGAACTCACTCCTTCTCTTTCTGTCTGCTTAAATGTATTCTTAATAATTATAATCATAATATGAGATATTAATTTTTTACGTCACTTCCATTACTTCATGCGATATTTCACAGAAAACGAAACTGTCTTATTTATGCTAAATTACTCCTTTAATTTCAAATATTAACAAGAATATTTAAATACATCTAAGGTAATTTTATTCTATACATTTACGCATCGCAACGAAATTTCTAAAAATTTGGTTTATGTTTTTCGAAAATTAAAAGCATAATGATAATCTAAAATTATTTGGAACTATTTGTAAGAAATCTTTCGTGGCAGATCGTCACATATTTGATAAATTTCAATTTGTAAATTATTTTGCTCTCACTAGCCAGTTTTGTGTAATTTTCTTCTGTGAATTTGCATTATATTTTTCTAAAAGTTAATTAATATAGTCACATAAATATGCCAGCAATGAGACGAAGTTGAAGTTCACAACATTGATCAACGAAAAAAAATTTATTTTAATGCTTTCAAGTATTATTTCTAATTTAATATTTAATTGTAAAATAAATTATTATTTAAACATAAACATCAACCTTTTTTTTTCTAAATATTTTTTTATCAATATTACTGCGTCATTTTTAATTAATTTGCTTAGTGAACAATTTTTTTTTTCATCGATTAACGTTGTGGACTTCAACTTGTTGCAATGAGCGACTCACGAGAACTGTTATAAAGAATTTGAATTTTTAAAAATAAATTTCGAGGTTCTGGAAGTTACGTATCCACGTAAATAAGCTTGGTGTCTGATTTGGATATTCGGTTTTGCAAAATCCTTGAAAGTTCCAAAGAAAAGAGAAAATTGTAAACTTAATTAATATTTTACTTGTTGCGAATAACAGTGAAGCAGATTATAATGCTGCTAGAGACGAAGCTGACGATCACGAAATGGAACAGGCTGCGTGTTTTGCGATAGTAATTAATGGTCACTCCTTGGTTCATGCGCTGCATCCTCAACTAGAAAAACTCTTTTTAGATGTCTCCAGTCAATGTGAGTAAAATCGACAAAATTTCATTTAGTTCACTCAATATTTTCTCAAAAATCTTCTTCTTCTGTATTCAAAATCGTTATATTGTTCTTTTTAAATGTTTTGAATTTCAAAATTAATGCAATTCTAATTTTGTAAATTAAAATTAATTAAAATTAACGAAATTGTTTTGAATTAAAAAGCATAGTTCAATTTGTAAATTTAACTTAACATTTTAAAATATAAAAATTACTCATAAATTATTGTGGAAAAGTAATTTTTACTACAGGACAATACGATTAATGATATTTATTTTGTAAAGAGAAACAAATTTATCTAGATTATTTATAATTTAAATTTAATTATTCAGAGAATAAGTTTTGTACAAATATTTTTGCAAGAAACTCAATTCAATAGTTTCGAAAAATTTTATTAAAAACTTTTGATTTAATGCATTCAAAAAGTTTGATTAAAAATTGTTAAAAATACCTTCATAATTGGATTCCATCAAGAAATTTTATTAAAATTTAATTGAAAATAATTATATTTCTTCTAACAATTTTATGACTTATGAAAATAGTTCAATATTATTGAGAAAAATTTTATTTAAATTTAAAAAAAAATTAAATTGTTTCGAAGGATATAATGAAAAATAGTTAAAAAAAAAAACGCGAGTGTGATTTCTTTTTGTGTGGTACACACACAAATACTTAAAAACATTTTTCATTTTAAATTAAAATTAATTGAATTTTTAAAGAGTTGCGTTTACAATTTTCATAAATAGATGAAAATTGAAATTTTATAAAATTTCAATTCTCAATGAATTTCATTAGAAATTTAAAAAAATAATTTTTTTTTTTAAATTTAATAATTCAAATTCTACTGAAAATTTGTTAAATTTTTTAAATATATTTAATTAATTATTAATAATAATGGATTTATAGACGAATTTTACTCAAAAACATTTAAAAAAATTCAATTTTGGAAAAATTATAAATGATTGCATGAATTCAATTATTTTCAAAAATAATAAAATTCTTCTCCAAAATTCAATTATTTTCAAATTGTTTTATAAAATTCTTGGCAAAATTCAATTTTTTAAAAATTTGTTATAAAATTTTTGTCAAAATTTCAATTATTTTCAAAAATTTTCCTCAATTTCATATGAATTCTATTATTTACATATTTTTTTATAAATTTCTTCGCAATAATAAATTTAATTATTTTCAATAAATAATCAATTTTTTTACAGGGATTATTTTCATAAATAATAAAATTCTTTTTAAGGATTCAATTATTTTCATAAATAAAACTCATCGCAGAATTTCAATTATTTTTAATACAATTTTCATCGAATTCCTCGAAAAATGAAATTGTTCGTAACAATTTTATTAAAAAGCGTTAAAAGAAATCAATTATTTAAAAATGTTTTGATAAAATTCTCTATGAGAATTCAATTTTAAGAAATATTTAATTATTCAATAAATTATTTATTTTTGCATTTAAATAATTGAATTCTCGTAGAATTTTTTAATAAAAATTGATTTAAAAATGAATTTCAGTTAAAATTTTAGATTTGAATATTCATTATTCAAATATTCAAATAATATTTTAATATTAACAAATAATTGAATTTTGAAAAGGTTTTAAATTATATTCTTTAAGAATCTGAATTTTTTATACTTTTAACCAACAATTCTGTAGAAATAATTATTTTGAAAAAGTTTAATATTGAATTTTTTTCTGAAATTATTTGAAGCGTTTATTTTTTAATACGCATTCAATTGAACAATTTCTGAATAATTGAAATTTCGTAAAACTGAACAAATGGATTTGAAAATTCTCAAACAACTTTTTCAAAAATTGTTAAAGATAATTGATTTAAAGAAGAATTTTATTTAAAAAATTCTAGAAAATAATAATTGAATTAAAATGATGGAAATAATTTTGAAAAAATTACAGTAAAAATATTCCTATTATATAAAATAATGATCTTATCACTCGGTTATCTGTAATTTATTATAAGTTATTAAATTTCAAAAAGATTTGAATTCATTGAAATTTTTGAAAATCTTGATCCCTGTGGAAAAATAATAAAGATTAAATATTTATTTAGAAAAGAAGTTATTGATGTTTTCGAATAATTTTACAATCGTTTTTATCAAATAAAAATGTTGTAAATATATTTTCCAAAATAAATTTTAAATTTCTTAAATAAAATTTGATTTATAACATTTTTTTTCTACTTAAAACTTGTACTTTGTTTATAAATAATTGTAATTGAGAAACAGAAAGATGTGCAAAATATTTTCTAATTCCTAATTTTCCGAAAGTTTTTAAATTTTTTTTTAGAAAAAAGGAAAAATTAGCTTTATAAATTCGATTTGTCTAACAATTAAATTTTTCTTATTAAAAAAAGTAAAATATTTTGCAGGATTTACATTTGTTAATTACCAAAAAATGTTTATTACAAAATGCTAATTTTTTTTTATTAACAAAGGAAATAATGAATAATAACATTAATAATTTTTTTAGATTAATATTAATATTTTTAAATTATTTGAAAAATAAAAATATTATTAAATTAAAAAAATAGTAAAAAATAAAGAAGTATAATATTATCCATTAAAGCATATCAAAAAACAAAAACAGACATTGGATTTTTTATTCAATTTTCCACCTTCCCATGATCATATATTTAATACTATCAAAAAGATGATTTATTGAATTAATTATTTGTTTCAGGCAAATCGGTAATATGTTGTCGAGTGACGCCTCTTCAGAAAGCGATGGTAGTAGAATTAATTAAGAAAAGTAAAGAAGCAGTGACGTTGGCTGTTGGCGATGGAGCAAACGATGTGTCAATGATAAAAACGGCACACATCGGTGTTGGCATCAGCGGTCAAGAGGGACTGCAAGCAGTATTGGCCTCAGATTATTCAATAGGACAATTTAGGTTTTTGGAGAGACTATTACTTGTTCATGGCCGATGGTCTTATTACAGAATGAGCAAGTTTCTTAGGTACTTTTTTTACAAGAATTTCGCGTTCACCCTATGCCACATTTGGTTTGCTTTCTTCTGTGGATTTAGCGCACAGGTAAATTATTTACAAAATTTTTTATTTTTCAATTAGATACAAAAGAAAGAACACTGACACTTTAGTGAAGTTTATAGCGTTTATAATCAACAATTAAGAGCAAAAATTTGTTATTTTTACCTGTAAAATTTGTAACAAATTTTTTTGGCAACTACATAGTTTAGACCAAAAAATATTATTTTCTGAGTGGAAAATATTTTTGTCTTCAATTGTTAATAGTAAACGTCGTGAACTTGAAGGACAGTATAATTGTAGAAATAAAATTTGAAAATATTGATAATAATTAGTAAAATAATAGAAATTATAAATGATGAATCTAAGGCGAATACTATCTTAAAATTTCCTTTGTTCGAGGCATTGTCTCCATGGTTGAAATTTTCGAGAATTGAGTACTTTACTTATCTGATTGAAACAAAAACAAAAAGAAGTGAAAAATTTGTACTTTTTGCCATGGATTGTCATTGACAGATATTTTATTTTTTGCAGACTGTTTTCGATCCAATGTATATTTCCGTGTACAATTTGTTTTATACATCATTACCCGTTTTGGCTGTTGGTATATTCGACCAAGACGTTAACGACAAAAATAGTTTAATGTATCCGAAGTTGTATACCCCGGGACACCAAAATTTACTTTTTAACAAAAAGGAATTCTGTTGGAGTGCTGTTCACGGATTTTACGCAAGCTGTGTACTCTTTTTGGTGCCTTATGGTGAGTCACAGAAAGAAACTTTTTTAAACTCTCTTTTTAATATTTTTAAAAAAATTTCCTTTTTTTTAACTGGAAAGTCGAAAACGCAGTGATCACAGTTTTTTAAGGAAGAATTTGACGGACAGTTAGAACAAAAGTTAGCCCAATGTCATAATTTCGTAATTTAAAAGGAAAGACAAATTAAATTTTAAATTCATTTCGGAGGAAAGGCGAAGAATTTAATTTTAAACATTTAAAACGATTGAAAGTTACATTTGAATAGAAATTACAATTTTCTGTCAATAAGAAACATGCAGGCCTCGGAAATTATAAATTTTTCGACTATTTTCGAATAATGTGACTTTTATCGACTTATATTAAAAAATTGCGACTTTCTCAACTTTTCTTCCAAATTTTGCAACAAAACACCACAATTTTAGTATAAAATGCAACTTATTCTATTGTTATAGTGTGGAAAGTATAACTGTAGACAAATCTTTGAAAATTTATTTTTGAATAATTTTTCTAATTAAATTTTTGAAATATAGAATTAAAAATATTTTAAATATTTGAAATTTTTTAAAATTTAATTTTAAATAAATCATTTTCTTGAAGTATTTTATTACAATTTTTGAAAATTAACTTTTAAAAAAATTTAATTGAAAATTTTTGAAATAATTGAATTCTCAAAAATTTTAATGAAAAATCTTAAAGTGTAAATTTAATCAAAATTAATGAAAATTAGGTTATAAAAATAATATTAAAATATTTTTGAAAAAAACTTATTTTCAGAATTTTTTTATTCTAATTTTTTGAAAATTCAATTATTTTTAATATTCAAATACATACAAAAAAGATAACATTACAATTTTTAAAATAATTTTTTCATTTTGGAGAAAATAATCATATTCAAAATTTTTAATTAAAATTCTTCCAAAAATTAATTAATTTTTTTGAAAGTATACAAAAATTCTTTTTAGAAATTCAATTATGTTCGAATAAGTATATTACAATACCTATTTATTTATAAAAAAACTAATTCTTCGAATTGTTTTAAAAGAGTTTTTCTTTTTTTGACAATGATTAGACTTTATAGAATATAAAATTAAATTTATTTTAAATAATTATATTCTTAAATAAATTTCCCAAAAATGACTTATAAATTATTTCAAATAATAATTTTAATAAATTAAATAATAATTTTACTTAAAAATTCCAAAAATTATTGAATTTTATAAAAGTTGTGTTTACAAGTTTTATAAATAACTGAATTTAAAGAGGTTTCAATTTTAAATTTTCGAAAATTTAAATTTTAAATAATTTTAATTGAAAATTTTGAAGAAGTTAGTTGAAAGAAAAAGTCGAAATTCTATCACACGAAAAAATACTGTGATTCCTGAAAATATTGATTTTCTGGACGTCAATGCGTTTTTTTAATGCTTTGTTGCAGAATTAACTATTTGTTTATTAGGATTGAAACCTATTTTTTAATTACTTCTCTCTGCAATTCCTTGCTTCTGTAGACTTTAAAAGACTGTACCCTCTCGTACCGGATGATTATTTTCAATTTTATTTCGTTTTTTGTTTTCTAACATTTTAAATAATTTTTTTCTTTAAATTTTCTCAATTTTTTTAAAATTAATGTATTGAAAATCATTGAATTCTTGTAAAAAATTTGAAAATAATTGAATAATAATAATAATAATAATAATAATTGAACTATAATAATTAAATAGTAAATTAGTTTATAAGTGATTTTTTAAAATTTTGAATCTGAAATTATTCAAAAATTTCTTTTATATTTGAAAATATCCAAAATTTTGTGGACTTCGACGTTCGTTTTTGTTTGACGTGACACACGACATTAACGTTATTAATCCACCTTGAGAGAGTATGTGATCAATTTTTTTGCACCAATAATTTTTCCTTAGTGTGAAAATGGTACTTTTTAAAAGTATCAGTGTGAAAATGATAATCATGAATGAGTGTGCGTAAGTATATGGATTTTTTTGTCTAACGTACATTTATACGTTAGTATTACTTTTTGATGGTTATATTTTTATATATTTTTAATATTATTTTTTGACTATTTTTGGACGGGGTTTGAAAAAAGTTTAAAAAATTCTTTTCTTCTTTATATTCTTTTTTATATATTTCTTATTTAATTCTTATCTTTTTTTATATTTTTTTTACATGAAACCAATACTAGCCGTGACTAATTTATTTGATTTAAAATTTTAAATAAATAAATGCCAATTTATTTTTTAAATAAACATCAAATATTGTAATTTATCTGATTCGCAAATTTTGAATTCGTGATTTTTAGTATCAAGTTAAAGGTATTTAGTAAGAAGTTAAAAAAGTGTTGCTAGTTTTGGTTCCAATTTGATCGGATCAAAATTTTAATTACATTGAATTTAAAATTGCAATTTAATTTAAAATTTTCAATCAATGATAATAATTAGTTCTGGTCATTAACCAGAAGTGTAGAAACGAAATTTTTTATGGAATGAAACAAAACTTTTGCCCCTCATCGACTTTAAAGATTGGTGGTGCAATTCTTCCCTCTGTTCCTTGTTTCCTACTGTACTGGTTTCTTTTTCTATTTTTTCCTCGTTTTAATAATTAAAGAGTAATTTTTGTTATCCAGGGACATACAAAGACGGAGTATCGCCGAAAGGCTATGTACTTTCGGATCACATGCTGCTGGGCAGCGTTGTGGCCACAATATTAGTCATTGTTGTGACTATTCAAATAGCCCTCGATACATCATATTGGACAATTGTAAATCATTTTATGGTGTGGGGTTCTCTTTTTTCCTACTTTGTAATGGATTATTTCTATAATTATGTTATTGGAGGCAGTTACGCTGGCAGTTTAACAATGGTGAGTTGCGTCGCTCTTATGCAGACGAAAATATCTTATGTTCCCTGAAATTTAAGTTTTGTTTATTGTAGTTTTCAATTTATTTATTAAGAGGAGAGTTCACCGATAATTTTAATTATATCAAGAAAATAATTTAAATTTTCCAGAAAATTCTTTTCATATGGTAACTAGCAAAACTACACGCGCGCGTAAAAATTTCCTTACCATTGTCACTTTAAAAGATTTGCTTTTTGAAATGTAATAAAAATTCTTCATTTTCAAAAAATATAATTTTTCTAATCACTTTTTCTTTAAATTTCATTATTTGAAGTTTGAACAAATCGTATATAAATCACCAAGTTATTTCTAACAACAACTTGAATGTAATGTAAGACATTTTTGATTAAATAATTGAACCAGGTAATAAGTTTTTTCTAAATATTTTTTTTAAATTCAATTATTTTCTAAATTCGCAATTAGAATTCTTTAAAAATACGATTATAGGTTCAAAATAATTTTTTAAAGTAAACAAATAAAATTCATTAAAATATTAAATTTATTTCCATGAAATTTGACAAAATTTTCAATTGTTTCAATTTTTTTAAATTATTTTCGGAAATACAATTATTTTTAAAAAATTTTAATTACATTTTTTCAAGAAATAATTTTTCGGAATTTCTATTAAATTGAATTTTTCAAAACTTCAATACTTTTTGTTAAACAAAAAATTAAAAACTTATTCTTATTTATTTTTCAACAGGAATTAAAATTTCAAATAATTTTAATAAAAAACCTCATTAAATTTAATTATTACTAAAAATTGCAACTGTAATTCTTCAAAAATTTAATTATTTTTTTTTAGAATTTTTGAATAAAATTATTTAAAAACTTTAAGAATTTTTAAAGAAACAATTTTCAAGGAATTTAATTTAAAAACCTTTTAAAATATAATTCATTCCTAAAATTCCTAATTGTTTTTTCAAAAATACAATTTATAGATTATTTTTAAAGATGAAAAAAATAAAATTCTTTAAAATACGAAATTTCACAAAATTTCCAATTGTTTCAATTTTTTAAAATTATTTTCAGGAATTCAAGTATATCTTCAAAAAATTTTAATTAATATTTTTCAAAAACCTAATTTTTTCAGAATTTTCAAATTAAATCTTTATTTATTTGCTGAACATTTTGGAATACTTTTAGTGTAAAACCATTGGAGAAATTTTTCATTAAAATTTGGACTGCAAGTCTTCGAAAATTCAATTATTTTTTTTTAGAAATTTTGAATAAAATTATTCAAAACTTTTAATTTTTAAGGAAGCTAACAATTATTTAAGACTTAAATAATTTTATTACAAATTCCGAAAAAGATGAGTTTTCTGAGATATTCTAATTCAAAAAAATAATACAAATAAATATAATAAAAAATTGTTAATAATTGAATTTTACAAAGAGAAAATTTTTTAAACTATTTGAATTTTTTAAAATTATTTAATTTTTATAAACAAACAATTAAATTTTTTTAAATAATTAAAATTTCCATAAAATATTTTTATTTTATAAGGAATTACAGCTAAAATTTGTGTTTATTAATTAATTTAAAAAGGATTTATAATTATAATTTTTTTTATAAACAAGTAATTAAAAATTTCAAAAAAATAAAAATTTCTAAGAATGAGATTGAAAATAATATTGAATTCTTTAAGAATTTTACTGAAATTTTTGAAAGTAATTGGGAACTTCGCAACAATATAATTATTATTTATAAAGATAATTGAATTGTTTCGAAGAATTCATTAAAATTTTAGAAAATAATTGAATTCTTTCGTGAAATTTTTCAAAAATTGTATAAAAAATGATTTATAAACTTTTCTTAATAATTTTATTCGAAAATTTTGTAAACAATCGAACTGAACAAAAGAAATTTTTTCAACTTTTTAAAATAATCGTGTTTGTTAATAATAAATTGAAATTAAGCATTTAATTATTGAATTATATTAAAATCATTATTTATTATTTATAAAAATAGTTGAATTTTTTCTGAAGAATTCATTAAAATTTTTTTAAATAATTGAATTCTTTCGTGAAATTTTATAAAAATTGTATTGTATTTACTGCTTTTAAAAAGAAGTAAATTCTTTTAAAGAAGTTTATTAAAGTTTTTGAAAATCTAAATTAAATTCTTTTGAAATTTTTATTGAATTTTTTGAAAATAATTGAATTAAACAAAAAAATTTTTTCAACTTTTTAAAATATTCTTGTCTGTTATTAATTCAAAAAAACATTTAATTATTGATTAAATTCATAATTTATTATTTATAAAAATAATTGAATTTTTTTTAAGAATTCATTAAAATTTTAGAAAATAATAATTGAATACTTTCGAAGAATTTATTATTATAATTTTAGAAAATAATTGAATTATTTTGTAAAATTTCACAAAAATTGTTTTGAAAATAATTGAATTCCTGCAAAGAATTGTACTATTTCAAAAAATTATTGAATTATTGCAAAGAATATTATTATTTACAAAAATCCAAGAATTCGATGAGAAATAATTGAATTCTTCAATAATTTTACCGAAATTTTTGAAAATAACTAAAATTGTAAAGTTTTGCCCTATCAAATTTTATTTTTAAAATTGTTAGACACTCGTAAAGTTTCAAATTTAATTTTTGCTTCTAAAAATTTCTTTGTTATTATTATTATTTTTTTTTAAATTGAACTCCTCTTAAATTTTTTTTTCTAGAAATCAGGGAAACAGTTAAAATTCTATTTAGAAATTAGGTAAAAGTTATTGAATAACTAAATCAATTGTTTGTGGTCACCTTGATATGTGTAATTATTTTTCAAGTTTAGTTAACCCAGGATAAAAATTTGTTTTCTTATTTTTTTAATTAAATTTTTTGCATTGCAGGCAATGTCGGAAGCAACATTTTGGTTCACGACACTTATATCGTGCATTATTCTTGTCATACCAGTGCTTTCGTGGCGATTCTTCTTCATCGATGTGAGACCAACATTGTCCGACAGGGTGAGACTGAAGCAGAGATTAGCACAATTGCGCTCGCGACAAAGTCAAGATGTATTGCGCACACCATCAACAAGAAGAACGCGTCGCTCAATACGATCGGGCTACGCATTTGCACATCAAGAAGGTTTCGGCCGACTCATTACATCGGGTAAAATTATGCGCAAATTGCCTAATGGTTCGGACTTTAAATTTTCTATGCCATTTACGAATAATGTTACGAAACAAGTTAATATTTCCTCCACATCACCAAAAGAGAGTGCATCTAAAAATTCACAATCCCTGGACACTGTCAATCTATAAAAATTGGTCCCTTATTTATTTTTTTAGAAACAAAACAAAAAAAAAAAAATTCGAAAAAAATATGCACAAGATTTTTTTTTTCTTTTGAAAACTATAGTTTATTTCTTGAATGAAAATTTAGAAACAAATCTATTTTCTCTAAAGCACAATTTTTTCTAAAGAGAAAATAAAAAACAAAAACTTAAAGTAAACTATTTGAAAAAAAAACACCAGTATTATTTTTTTGTCAAATATAATTTTGAAACGTCTAGTAACTAGATAAAAAGGAGATATTATTTAAATAAAGATTTTTATTTTTATAATGGTACTAATTTTTTTTTTTCGTTAAACTATATATGTACGTTCCATTATTTAAAATAAAGAAAAGGAACTCAAAAATTAATATTTTATAATTGAACTGTAAATTAAAGAAAGTTATCGTTAATTTTTGTTGTAGATAAAAGGAAAAATATGTACATAATCATAAATGACACGCTTATAAAGAGTGACAGTTGTTCAGGGATATTTTTTTTTCTGATTTCCTAATGTTTACCACGTACCGATTATGAGAATATTATTCTAAAGTATGTTTACATAAAATATTATTATACAATTAAAAAAAAGAAAAAAAAGATAAAAATAACAAAAAGTTAAATTAATAATTGCCTTTATAAAATATTAATACAAGAAACAAAAAAAAATATTGTATTATATAGCATTGATTGTAAATATTTTAAAAGAAAAAAAGAGAGAGAAATATATATATATATACATATATAAATAATGAAAAAAAATATATATTAAATGTTAAGTATACATTTTTTTAAAAGAAAGTAATATATAGGTAGAACAATCTATAAAGTATGAAAATAGTAGCAATATTATATTATACTGCGGATAATGTTTGCCTTGGACTGACTACTGAATATTATGTATTAAAGTAAAAAAAAGAAGCAGTAGCAACAATAAATTATGTATTTCTACTTTTAATATTGTAAAGAAGCGTAGAAAGAGATAGTCTACATGGGAAAATGGTGTGTTCCACAATCAAAGTTATCATTTAACGAGTTACTGAAATTAGTTGTATTTAAATATTGTGCCTGATCATCATCTATAAAAAAAATAGTTATACCGTTAATGGTAAACTACAAACTCTTTAATATCACATTCAATGCAATATCTGCGATTCTTTTTCGAAATCCACTTTTATATATACTATAAATATATATATTATATATTCATGTTATATTTATCAATTCTTTTTTTAGAAAAAAAGGAATTTTATTTTCGTATTTAAATACTTTTTCTTGATTATAGAAAGATTTTTTATAATATAAATAGATTGTTTTTATCAATAAATTCTTTTCTCACTTGTAGGAAATAATAAAACCGAGTACATTTGGTAGTTTTTAATAAAAATATGCTCCAACGTTTCGAAATCTATTTATTCTAAATATTTTTATAAAAAATCAACTTGTCCGAATGTATTCGTTTTAAATGGGTCGCCACAAGTCGGGGAAATCAGAGAACTTAGGGGAAATTAAATTGAAATGACAGAAAATTTTGTCAAAAATACGGGACAAATATTAAATTTCGAGAATTAGGACAAAAATTTAATATTTTTTTATACACTAAAAAATTTTTTCTTTTTTTTTTAAATGTTTGTTCATCTTTTGAGAGAAGTATTCATCGGTATTTTAAATTATATCAAGAAAATAATTTAAATATTCCCTAAAATTGTTATTATAGTAATTTTTTTGAAAGAAATTCAATAATTGATTTATTTCGATGAAATAAAATTAAAATAAAAATGGTCAGCAAATATTTTGACCCATTTTGAATTTTTAATCCACTAATTGGATTTCGAAATCCATGAGTGAATTTTTTCTAACTTATTTCAGATCATAATTGTTTTATGAAAAATAAAAAAATTAAGATTTGAAATTAATTAGAAAAATAAATAAATGAATTTTCAATTTAAAAAATTTTTTAAATAAAAAATAATGGTATCTTTCTAGAATTTTCAGCCTAGAAACAAAGTTTAAAAAAAAATCAATAGTGCTACAAAAGATAGTACATAAAAATCAATTTCTTCATTCGCCAATTATCTTGTGGATAGAAAAATATATTTTCTACAAAATTACACAGGGATTTCAAAAACTACGAATTTTTCGAAAAAATAAAAATTCAAAAGGTGTTAAAATAGTTTCTTATAAATTTTATTTTATGACCATTGAATTCCTCTCAGAAAATTACTATTATGAAAAGAATTTTCTGGTAAATTAAAATTATTTTCTTGATATAATTAAAAATATCGGTGAACTCCTACTCTTCTCAAAACTTTTTGTTATCATAATAAATTTTAATTTTAAAACAATACCAGAATTTAATCTTTTTTCTGTAGAAAAAATAAAATTTATTTTAAATGATTTAATTACAGAATAACTTTTTAAAGATATTTTGAACAATAATTAATCTACAAAATATTTTAGATAAAAACAGTTGCAATTTTCAGAAGTAAGTGAATTTCAGAAGATTTTAAACTAAAATTTTTGAAAATTTAAATTTCATTAGAGAAATTAAATTTCATAATTGAATTTAATAATAATTAAATATTTATTAAGAAAAGTATTTGAGTTAAATTTTAAATAAATGTATTTAAAATTTTTTAAATATATCACTTATAATTTAACGAAACTTGGATTTTTATTAAACAATTACAATTTAATAATTATTCAAGTAGGAAATTAATTAAAATTTTGTAAAATTGAATTGAAAATAATTAAATTTTTGAAGGAATTGAAGAATTGGTAAATAATTGAATTTTCTAAAGTGTCAGAATTGAATTTATTCCTATTCTGGTCAGTGTAAAGATCAACATTAAAAAAATGTTTTTAAATATTGAAATTTTGCAAAATATTGTTTTAAATTCCGAAAAATTGCTTTTTAAAAATATTTTAGCTCAATTTTCTTAAAGTTATTGAATTTTTAATAATACGTGTTTGAACATTTTTTGAAAATAATTGAATTTCAGAAGGTTTTAAACAAAAATTTTCCAAAACTTTTAAATTCTGTGAAAAATGTAATAAATTGTTTAATTAAATTTTTTTAAATTAAATATTAATTTTTAAGAAAATTATTCGAGTTATTAAATAAATTAATTTAAAGTGCTGAAACAATTATTGTCTCATTTACTATTTTAAAGATACTTGAATTTTTTAAAGAACTTTGTTAAAGAATTATCAAATTAATAGAAATTTTGTGAAATTGAATTGAAAATAATTTAGAGAATTGAAGAATTGGTAAATAATTATTGAATTTTATAAAGAGTAAGAATTGAAATACGTTTGTTAGTGTAAAAAGCATAATTAAAGGGTCCAAATTGTATCTTAAATAATTTAATTACGAAAGAGTTGCAATTAAATTTTCTATTAATTAGATAATTTAAAAATAAATTATAAATTATAAAAATATTGAAGTATCGAAAAATTTTATTTAAAAACTGAAAAAATGATTAATTTAAAAATTATTATCTATTTTTTAAAGGTAATTGAATAAAAATTTAATTACATGTTTCATGTATAATTGGAAATTTTTTAAAGTAATTGAAATTTCATGAAATTCTTTTGAAAATAATTTATTTTTTAAAGAATTTTATTGAAATTTTTGTAAATAATTGAGGAATATTATTCAACTAATTTTATTTTTTAAATAGGCAGATAGGTTTCAAGTTTTAAATCATTGTTTCTAAAATTTTTTTTTATAATTTAACTCCTCTTGAAATTTTCATTTTCATTGTGATCAGGGAGAAAGTAAAAAATTCTGTGTAGAAATCGGAAAAGACTCAAATTTTTGTGGCTACCCTGTATTTTCTGCAATTTTTTTTCTCACTTCTAATAAAAACGACACATCGATAGATATTTTTTTTCTATTATTAGTGTATTAATTAATTTTTACAAATTTACTAAAATAGTGTTTGTAAATTTTTTCGGTTCTTTCTAAATAAGGTGAATAGTAAGTTTTAATGTTATAGATTTCAATCGAAAAGAATCGCAAATATGAATTTGATATGAGTGTCTAAAAATGCCAAGATTAATATCTAATACTACGCATCTTACATAAGAAATAAAAACAAGTTTTTTGATTTTGTATGTTTACAAAAAAAAATAATAATAATAATGAAAATCAATGAATGAAATTTCGTTGCTTAATTGATAAATTGTAATTAAGAGCATAAAATTTATTGGTACGACGAATTTTTTATGAAACCGAGGTGAACTATAGACATGATGTAATAAATTATTTTTTTGGTGGTATATTTGAAAAAAAGTATATAGTGATATTTAAAATATTTTACATTCGACAGCATTTAGTTTTATTGTATCTTTATTTTTTAAACTCTTTAAATGCAAAATTCAATTGTTATGCACCTCTTTTTTTATTTTGTTTTTTTTTTGTAAAGAAAAAAAAAGAAAACGAATACCTTTTTGTTCACAACGAACTAATTATTGTATATAGACAAAAAATAGGAACGTGCACAGTGCAAAGTTTTATTGATAATTTTAACTTGCGTTTATTTTGTTACTCGTAACGATTAGTATTACCGTATGTGATTTAGTTAACTGTCTCTTGTTATTTGAGAAAAAATATATATATTTGTGTCAATTGTTTTAATTACACGGTTACCATCGTCGAAACTTTTTTCAGCCAAATATGTTAAACGATGGTTAACGTACGATTTTTTCTTGTTAGTAATTATATTATATAGTCAATGATTTAAGAGACACGGGTTTATATATTTTTTTAATTTACAAATTTTGTTGAGTGCTACAAAATGTTAATTGAAATTATTTTGAGATTATGATACACAAGCTTTGAACGTTCGAGTGAAAGAAATATTTTTTATTAAATAGTCAATCCATTATTATGTCGACTAAAGTCGTCGTCAACTAAATTTCGCAAAAAAATTATAATATTTTCGCAAAAATAATTTTAAAGGTATCAAGATTACGAAATGAAAAGAATTTTATAAAAAAATTTCTATTTAGCAATTCCACGTTATGTAATACAATCAAAAAAATTTTATGGTAATGGATATTGTTATATTCAATTTTAAAATAATTTCAGATCCAAAATTTTTAAAAATTCAATTAGTAACTAATTAATTATTATTACTTACTATTTTCTAAAATTTGAATAAAATTCTTCACAAGAATTTAATTATTTTCATAAATAATAAAATTCTTTGCAGGAATTCAATTATTTTCAAAAATGTTGAATAACCAATAATTGATAAATTTCT